CCTAGACAGGTTAAAACATCATCGACTGTCTTTTTTTCAATGACCCATGTTGTCACTTCACTACTTAGACCTGAAATAGTAAATATATCTATAAAAAATTCTCTGCTCAGATAAACTTAAGTCGTTAACATAACTCTAACACAGGGCTACAGAAGCCATGCTAGTTCATCTTCATGAGTCTCACTGAAATATGACCATTTTTATATATATATATTAAATACCTTTTTTGCCACATGCTCAATTTGGACCTCATCCTGACTATGGTGTGCCGCCTGACGACTCCTGGAAAATCACAACCTGCTTCTTGCCTACCTAATCAGATTGTTTAATCACTTGGGTGTTTGCTTGAAGAAGACCAGAATGCTCCAATATATAATAGAAGCCTGAAAAATAAGTGTTTGGGCATTCCTCTCTTGTGTTATTTATCCCTAAAACAAAATCAATAAAAAAATACATTAATGAAAAGTTTTGCATTCATAGTAAAAGTATGGAATGACCATTGTTGGAAATGGCTGGGAGTCTTTGTTTCTGGCCTTCATTCTATCAGCAAAGTCAAATAATGTGCCAGTAAGAATTAACACATTGTGAAGCTGATTTAACAAATGATGTTAAGCAAGAAAATCCATGAAGACATTCTTTTTGGAAAGTTTATTTGATGTTTTCTATAGTAATTTACACCAGGTAAGACATCCTAAAATTCAATCAGTAACACTTTCTATGAATGTCACCTTTGTAAGCATCTATAAACACATTCATAACATGTTATAATGCATTCATAAGGCATTATAAACATGGCTATAAATATTTATAAAAATGCATTACACATTATAGCCATGCTTATTATGCATTATGAATTGTTAACATAATACATTATAAGTACTGATCATAACAAATTATAAGAGCTCATAAGTTGTATTTGTCTGCTCTAAGTAAAGTGAAGCGTACTGTACTAAAGCCTCCTCCAGTGTTAAGAGTGAGGCTTCAAGTTGAAGTATTTACTGAAGGATTTACTGAAACACTAAAACATACACAGTAAAGCACATTACAGGCTTCAAATGACAGAGTTTAAACTAGAGCTGCCATCAGTGTTTTACCCAATGTACACCACCATTAGCTTGGTATTTGTCTTTACGCTGGGACTGACTTCTTTGGCACTGACAGTATAACATTTTATCAACACTACTTATAATGCATTATAGTAACAATTCATATAGTGTTCAAGCATAAGAACCTTTTGCAATCATGCTAAAAGGAAAAGTAGAGGTAAGCTTTTTCTACATTTCTTAATTGGAAGAAATGACATCGCCTGACTATATCAGCAGTATTTATGTAGTACATCCCTTTGAGGAGAGAGTCTGAGTGAATTTAGTAAGTGCTTCATAACTGTTTTTGTATGTAGCACTTTCACCTTCTTGGCTTGTGGGCCAGTATTCAATCCACGTCTGCTCGCCCAGGATATACTGCAGCCTGGCAAAAGATATAACAACAGTGAGGACCCACAAAATTACCATCAACACCACACCAATTACAATACCTCACACAGTCAAACATACACACGCTAGTGCAAATCCACAGACATCTGAGATATTTCCTCACAAGTGCTCAAATGATACCTTCCGTTCATCTTTGGTAGGTCAACAGTTCGGCCCATGATGAGGTATGCCTTGCCTTCCTCAATTCCAAAAAGCTCTCTGCAGTTAGGGTGACCAATGAAGGTTCTCTCTTCTCCTTCCACACCTGCATCACTGCCTGCACAGCAAAACATAAACGTTAAGTCGGTTGTGCACTACATGGCTTGTTAGATCCACACAGATTACAAAAACGGACAGCAGCTCATACTTAACATAAATCTTTTTTGTAAACGTCAGTGTAAGTGTGCACACAAGATGATAAAGCAAAGTTTCAGCTATGAATAAGCAAAATCAAAATCTCAAATCTCACCATTACTGCAAACAAAGCTAACCCGGGCCTTCAGCTACCAAGTAAAACAGCTTAAAGCTTTTTCTTTTTAGCTTTTCACTGGATGCATTTATGGTGTTATTTGACTTTGACTTTTTATAGGCAAATATCTAATTGTAATATTTTATTTATAATTTCTTGTCCCATTTCATTATTACTTATTAATACTGAACTGAAAAAAACCTGTTACTGTGAACTGGCAGCTGACTTATGTTTGTAAAGAGACCACCTTGAGTTTTTGGTTATTAATAGACTGAGGTTACAACATCTTTTTTTCCCTCTCCTTGTCTGAATCACTCATTCAGGTGGGTCGATGTCTATCTGAGTCATAAAAGTCAAACATGTTTGAAAATCACGGTTGAAGATCAGAAGGTTAAAGGTTGATTGTCGAATCTTGCCAGAAGTGGACATGAGGGTTAAAATGGGGCTAAAAAATCATGTAGAGTACAACCAGCTTTAGTGCAGACATACATTATCCTATGAAACATACTGTAGACTTGTAGGAGCATAGACAGATATACAGTATGTAGCATAGCAACTTGTCTACATAGTTCATTTCAGGGCCTTCAGTTCATGCAGCACAGTCTGAAATCATATATCAATCATAGCATATGAATTATACATTTACGCCATGGATGGATGGATGGATAGATAGACAGAGAGACAGGTAGACAGATAGATACATAGATAGATAGATAGATAGATAGATAGATAGATAGATCACTTTGTTAATCCCAGAGAGAAATTCTTCTATTGCAGCAGCACAAAACACAGTAAAGAATGAACAGAAGCAAAGTATTGCCATACACTATTGTTATCCATTATTCATCTTATCATTTCTATGGAAAGTGAGAACATTTATATATGGATCATTCTACCGAATTGGTTCAAAGTCAGAGTTGAAAACATGTTTGAACTTTAACTGGCCTGGATGTGAGAATAAAATTCTTTTGCTTTATGTGACCCTGTGTGGGAGGTCAGGGCTAATCTGCTGTTCATTGGTTTTTGAATAATACTTTTGTATACAATATACATAAAGTATTTAGTTCATATAATTCCTCACTTCAGTGATCATATTCCTTAAGGTTACTGACTGTAATACATAAATAAAATCATGAATAAGGAAAAAAAAAAAAGCAAGACGTGTTGCCGCTTCACTACTCAGCTAAGGTTAGTAAATGATGTAACAAATAAATGAAAATATGTGAAATTATTCTCCTTGTGACCTGATGTCTCACCCTGTAGTCTCTGTTCAGATGAACTTGTGTAAACCGTTAAATGCATATGACACAGGACTGGAACAGACGCTGTGCTGGCTTATCTTCATGTGTAAATGTTAATCAACTTTGCTTCAGAATGTTTTATCAAGTGCTTAGATCGGTCTGCTAAGATACACTGCTGGGTCTGCATCTGGACTGCGGTCCACCAGTTGAGGGAGAATGGAATGGGTAAAGGTTTACCTTTTAAGTTTTTCAGTGTTCTTTAGGTTTTTAACATAAATCTTTTTGTTAAAAAAAAGTCAAGTCAAGTCAAAGTTTATTTATGTAGTGCTTTTTACAATGTGTTGTCACAAAACAGCTGTACAGATAAATGTGGGTCCCAGCCCCCATGAGCATCGCCAGTGGTGCCAGTGGCAAGGAAAAACTCGCTAAGAACAAGAGGAAGAAACCTTGAGAGGAACCAAGACTCAAAAGGGGAACCCATCTTCCTCTGGTCGACACCGGACAGCAAACATACATCATCTAAACCGCTTATCCTACTGGATCGCGGCAGGGTGCTGGAGCCCATCCCAACTGCCATTGGGTGGAAGCAGGACACACCTCGAACAGGTCGCCAGTCCATCGCAGGGCAGACAGACAGACACACACATGCATACACTTACTCACACCTAGGGGCAATTTAGCATGTCTAATTAGCTTAACTGCATGTTTTTGGACTGTGGGAGGAAACCGGAGTACCCGGAGGAAACCCACGCAGACACGGGGAGAACAGGCAAACTCCACACAGAAACGACCCCGGTCGGGAATCGAACCCAGGCCATTCTTGCTGTGAGCAAGCAGCAACAGCGCTACCCACTGCGCCACCGTGCTGCCCGGACAGCAAACAGCATTAGTATAAAGTATTAGAATACAAAATGGGCAAAACAGGTGGAGCAATGGTTAATTAGATAGTTTGAATTTATGAAGTTTGCACAGCGTTGTACAAATCATCGTTTTGTAGACATGAAAATAAAATGAAAAGTGGTTTACTGGGTGGCTATAAAAGGGAACTAAGTCATGGTTATAACTGTAATGGCTACACACTCAGAAAAAAAGCTATTGAAATATCACTGGGGCAGTACTCCTCTTGTCACTAGGGTGGGACCCGCAAGGGTACATCACCGCACCTTAAGTCTGGGAACATAACTGTGCCATAATCCACTGAAACGACATTTTCTAAGTTGCATTGACTCCACACACCCCATCACGTCTCCAGGCTTTTTATTTTATTGTTCTGTTTTAAAACGTCAGGTTATGAAGAGGAATAAACACACTTTTTCCATGGTAAAAACGTATTTAGGTACACATTATACGTTTTAAGGGTACATTTTTGTGTCTTTATTAACTCTTTTCTGACTCTAATTGCTTTGTGTAACTGAAGTTGCATGGAAATTTTGTTGCAGGCAACTTTCAACATGCAACTACTTGCATGAAAATTCAACTGTATAAAGCCAGCCTTAGTAAAAAAGGCCTATATTGACAGTTTCTTAGGTACACCTACCTTGTACCCACACTATCTGACTGCTTTATTTTTGTACTAGTTGTCTTTGCTTCCCCTGTGTAAGTGACCCAAAAGTGCCTAGTGTTTGATTCACTTCTGGCACAGATCAGGGTTAGCAAGACACTTCGTAGTTGAGTGATGATCACACAAACAAACAGTACAAAGGCGACCGGAAGTCATACCTTCTTTCAGAACCTGTTCAATCTTCATGGTGTAGTAGTCTGTGTATGGGCCCAGGTCAGCCTTCACAACTTTGACTCTGTAAACTGTAAAATGCACACATAAGCACAAGCTTCATTTAATTAAGTGACCCTTATTAGTCCCACAATGGGGAAATTTCACATCCGCATTTTACCCATCCATGCAGTGAAACACCACATGCACATTAGTAAAGGCACACTAGTGGGCAGCCCTATCCGCAGCACCTGGGGAGCAATTAGGGGTTAGGTGCCTTGCTCAAGGGCACCTCAGTCACGTACTGTCGGCTCAGGGGATCAAACCAGCGACCTTCTGGTCACAAGGCTGGTTCCCTAACCTCCAGCCCATGACTGCCCATATTCTTTGTTTTCAGTTATTAGTTATAATACAAACATTTGATTCATTATTACAACATGAAACATGAATGGAGAATTTCATTGTCAGTTCTAAGTCATTACCGTAATCCATGCCAAATTCACATGCTTTTTTCTTCCGATCTTCTGCTTCGATTTTCTCTTTCTTTTGGATGCTGCAGTTCTCTGTGGCAGAAGATATAATGTATTTGTCTCTCTTTTACATACAAAACTTCAAATATTAAACCAGTTTGATTATTTTGTTATTTATATGCTATAAGGAACACATTCACAATTTGAAATAAACATGTTGCATCAGCTTCTGAACATAATCATGGAATATGTCTGATTGCATTTTTTTTTTTAACTATTCATTTTGCTAGCATACTATTGGCTGCGAATACAAGTACCTTCAGCACAATGGCACAGACCCTCCTGATCATTGCACAGTCTGTTAAGTGTTCCATCCTTTTTCAAAGGGTGGTAGAACTTCACGCAGCGATCCCCTGTGGAAACACAAGCATTAATTTGTGTGTATGTGTCTGTATATTCATGTCTAACACTTTATTAGGAACTAATACTGGCTACTTTGCTTTAAGGGAGTCACACCCTGCCTGACTACTTTGCAGCATGGATTCAACAATGTGCGGTAAATATTCTTTTTAGATTCATGTAGTTGGTCTAGATTTGTCAGCTGCACATTCAAGCTGTAAATCTCTCATTCTACTTCATCCCCAGTGTGATCTGTTGGATTTATATCTGGTGACTGAGGAAGCCAGTGAAGTACACTGAGCTCACTGTTGGAACTAGTTAAAGGGATGCAGATGCAACAATATGCAGAGAGGGTTGTGGCACTTACAGCTGGGATAGGCCCCAGCACCCCACCATGACCCAGAAGGATAAGCGGTTTAGATGATGTATGTATGTATGTACATGATACACATATCAGGACATTTACCAGACCTGCCTCTAAGTATTAAGCATGGTGTCATCAAGCTGTGACAGCATCAGTGGGTAATTCGGCTCAGAAAATCACCTAAAATCCTGATATTATTGCTCTGCTGTTTGGCCTTCATATTCCAACGAAGGGTTAAAACAGCGACATGATTCAAACATCACATCACTCAAGAGCTCATAAGTCGTATTTGTCCGCTCTAAGTAAAGTGAAGCGTACTGTACTAAAGCCTCCTCCAGTGTTAAGAGTGAGGTTGAAGTTGAAGTATTTACTGAAGGATTTACTGAAACACTAAAACATACATAATAAAGCACAATACAGGCTTCAAATGTCAGAGTTTAAACTAGTGCTGCCATCAGTGTTTTACCCAATGAGGGAAAGCCTGGTATTTGTCTTTACTTTACGCTCTCCAAGCTGGGACTGACTTCTTTGGCACTGAAATTATAACATGTTATTATCACTATTTATAATGCATTATATTAACAATTAATAATGTATAATAAACATGGCTATAAAGTGTAATTCAGTGTAATTCTTTTTTATAAATATTTTTAACCACGTTTATAATGCCTTATTAATACATTATAACATGTTATAAATGTGTTTGTAGATGCTTACAAATGCGACATTCATAGAAAGTGTTACCAATGCTTCTTAGCAGCTGTAAAACTGTACCTAGAGATGGGATGCAGAGTAGTTTCAACATCAAAGCCTACTTTTACATCATCATCTTAAGCTAGGTGGTTCAATTGAACTCAACCATTTTAAAGCTTACTTAAGAAATAATGTCAGATCAGTATTGGAAAAGAAAAAATAGCATCATGCCATCTCTACTGTTAACTTACGTGGAGAGTAGTACTCATACACCGTGATGGCAGCGGGTTGAAGCATAGCCACTTCATTGATCTTGTGCACTCTGAAAGCAATCCTGTCTTTGGTTGGAGCCTGAGATATCTGGTAAGATGCAACAAATATCCTAATACATTTTCAGTGCAGTTAAAAGGAAATATAGTGTAAAATATAAACATCCAGCAAACTTTGAATGAAAAAATAAGATAATGAGAAATATATATATATAAAAAAAAGAAAACATAGAGCATGCAGAGAACTGTCTGAGCATGGCCTAATGTTCTAATCCTTCTTTACAGGCCCTACAGCTAATTTATTTAGACAAGGAGGGGGGAAAGAAATTGCTGAGGGTACACAAGTATATTTGACAGCAGAAGCTTTCTTCTGACAAAACTACCAAACAACTTGTAATTATGTAGGTGGTTTCTGGTTGTAGTTTGGGAGACGTTCTGACCCCTAATGTTGGATCTCTGGAGATTCTTTGGTGACACAAATCATCTTCCACACCATCCCTGGGGCCAGAATTAATTTAGCCAGAGCAGGGCTTGGCTAGTAAGAAAGTGTCTGTTCCAACTCTAGCTAGATGGCTGTGGCCCAGCACTCAGTCACTGATTCAGGTCTAGTGCCCTGAATCACCAGCAGCACCACAGTAATGTTGTAAAGGAGATCACTGTTGGAAAGGTTTGTTGTCAAAATGCAAGGCTAACTGCTTATCATCAATTTCTGGTTAGTAGAATGTGTTACAGTTAATGCCTGGGTTAACAGCTTTATGGACAACTGAACCAACCTTACTCTTAGTTCAAACTGACAAGAGGGGAAATTTTCTGAGAAATCAAAGAGAGTGAGACTGAAGAAATGCAAGAAGTGACAGAAGTGTTGTGATAGGTGAGATCACATTTTATGCAAATTTTAAGATTAGGACTGCCCAAAAAAGGGATCAGTTATGACAAAGTATATGCAGACATTCACCAGTTAGTAATATTAACTATAAGGAATAAATGAGTCTGCCAATTGTTCGTCTTCATATGTACCTTATCTAGGTAGAGGATGAGGGAACCTCGTTCTGAGAGCTGTTTATCTATCTCAAACTTCTGAATATATTGGTCACTCCCAGTGGTTAGCTGTTATGAACACAAAAAAAGTGCACAAAACATTAGCAAATGGGCAAAAATCCTTGTGGTAAGAATAGAATAATATATTTGAAATTACACTTGCACTAATGTTTGAGCACACCTGCTGGAAAAGACTTTACATACTTAGCAATACAAAGTTAGCAATATATGTAGATTTACAGTACATGAGACTAAACTTCACATTAAAGTAAAATTAAAATTGTAACTTTTATCTCAATAGAAAAACATTGGTCATGTCTTACCAGACTTATAGAGGATATGGGCGTTACCCTAATCTCTCATTGCTTTCAATTAGCATTTTATTGACATTTACAAGATATCTACATTTTTTAACTCAATGAAGTTATAATGTCCTTACATACAAACACAACTCCCATGTAATAAAACAACTGATAATAGACACAGTATATAGACAGAAGTATTGGGACACCTACACATTACACCTACAGGAGCTATTATGAATCCCATTCTAAATCCATAGGCATTAATATGGAGTTGGTCCCCCTTTGCAGCTATGTTTTCACTGCTTCAGAGTCCAGTGGCGCCATGCTTTACACCACTGCACCTGATGCTTGGTATTGTGCATTTTGAAATTAGGTTTGTGTGTAGCTGCTCGTCCATGGAAACCCATTTTGTGAAGCTCCTAATGTGCAGTTCTTTTGCTGATTTTGCTTCCAGAGGCAATATGAAGCTTGTTAGTGAGTGATTCAACAGAGGATAGGCCCTGTGTGCTTCAGAACTCTCCGGCCCCACTCTGTGAGTTTGTGTGATCTACTGATTCCTGGCTGAGCTGTTGTTGCTCCTAAGTACTGCCATTTCACATTAATAGCACTTACAGTTGAGAGGGGCAGATCTAACAGGACAGAAATTTCACAAACTGATTGAGGCAGAGGGGGCATCATATGACAGTGCCATGTTTAAACTCCCTGAGCTCATCAGTACAACCCATTCTACTGCCATTGTTTTTCTATGGAGGCTGCAAGGCTATATGCTTAATTGTATCCACATTTTAGTAATGGTTGTGGCTAAAACACCTGAACTCAAGGTGTGTCTCAATGCTGTTGTCTATACAGTGTACATTTAAATCTAAAGCTTAAGTAATAAAGTATGAAGAAATCGTGAAATTCTAATGCACAAGCTTCAAATGTTGCTCAACGAAAAGCGATCATTCCAACAGAATTCCGCTATATGACCTAGAGAAAAACCTCCTGTCTTCAAAGAAAACATCAGGAATCAAGTTCAGATGCTGGACAAAACCGATAGAAAGCCAAAAGAGCCTAGGATGGAACTAAAAATGTCCTCAAAGATATGTGATGGATGACACAGTGGAAATGCAAAATAGAACAACAAAGCCAAACTACACTAAAGTGTGAATTCCACAGAGCTGCCAGGAATGACAACGACCAGTACAACATCTATAAAATATTGAAAATAGAAACAACCATGGAAAAAACAGGTTGCTTTACAGAAAATGTTGAGGTTTTAAACAAATTATGGAAACAACAAATCTGGAAAACTGCTCAATGGTGACAGATTTAAAGAGTTCATTTTATATCTGAATATCAAAAAAAGGAAACGAATGTATGGTAGTTAAAGGATTGTCAAGATCATTCAACACAGATTCGAGCCTCACTTTGACAGAGACCTGTCAGACATCCAAGCAAGATTCAGGAAAAGACAGAGGAACAAGAGATGCTATTGCTGGTCTGTGCTGTAAATTTAAAATTTGAAAAGCTGCACAAACACAAAAAGATGCCTGCGGATCTTAAAAATGGAAATCGGTTTAATGAGAGAGTTATCAGTACAAAAATCAAGGTGAAACAAAACCTCAGGGCAAATCCAACATCGTACTCCAAAAACCAAGCATGAGTCAAAAACTGGAATAAACAAAACATACAAGCAGACAGAGCAGAAGGGCAAATCCAAAAGAGCAAAATCCAAAAAAACAGGCAAAAGGCTCAAGGCACAAGTACAGAAAACAGAGAAATACCACTCAGTAGTCCAAATGAATGGCAATACCTCCCAACGAGGAGAACAAACCGAGGACTATTTAAGTTCTGAGACAAGTGAATTGCATTAGAATTCTGGTGACTGAGAACGAGGCAGTTGCGTGTGACTGGAGGAATTGTGTTTCAAATTGATGATGTCATCGGGACTGGAATTATGGGAAATGTCCTGGAGCATGCTAGGCAAGGGAGGAAAACCCAGAAGTGTGACAACAAGCATTTTATTGACTAGATCAAAGCTTTCAACCGCATCAATCATGTAAAAATAGAGGGATGTGCTCAGTAAAATGGTTATACTAGAGCATCTCTTCATTCTAATGAGGAAACTCTGCATTGATTATGAAGCCAGAGTCAGGACAGAAAATGTACAGTCTAGTTTCACATTGACAAAGGGGTAAGACAAGGCAGCCCACTATCCCCATACTTGTTGTTTCCCCATACTTGAAACAATTTTCCGATGTATTGATGCATCTCTACAAAGAAAGATTAGAATTGTCCAAGCTGTGGTCTTTTCTGTGGTTCTTTATGGATGTGAATGCTGGGTGATCAAAAAGTAGGACAGGAAAAATACTGATGCCTTTGAACACTGAGAGTTGTAAAGGCTTTTGAAAGTACCCTTGGCAACAAAGGAATAAAAAAAAATGGATCTTTGAACAAATCAAACTATCCAAAACCCAGATAACCAAATAAAAGCTCTTATGTTGGACATGCTTCAGGAAGAACCAGTTCATTGGAAAAGACATGTTCAGAACAGTTAAAAGTAAAAGAGGAAGAGGACAGTCAGCAATAAGATGGATGGAGACAATCAGACAATTCATGTACAAGCCATTAAGAAGCCTAAAGACCCAAACAGATGACAGAGTATTCAGAAGAAACAATATCCGTATGGCCACTAGAAGTTGGAATCGATTTGATGGCATTTAAGAATAGCTATAATAAGTACATTAAATGCATCACTTAAATTACATAATTATTAGTTTCTGGAATATTTATTTTAATGTCCCACTAGGTTTTAAAATGTTAGTGATATATCATCTGCCATATATTTCCTTACATCACTGAGATCAGTTTCATCCACCACAAATCCTGTCAGCAGGCCAATATCCAAAATAGACATAGCGGCATCTCTGGTTTGACTCTTATAGCTGTACAGATGAATAAAAAAATCATTTAATTTAATTCATTTTATTTATACATTAGTACAGTCCTTAAACATACAACTAACAAATACATAATCTGAAATATCAAATCTGATGAACCTAAAGTACAAAATAGATGCAGTGAACTGTATGTGCAATCCATATTGTGATATACTCACGAGGTTTCAATGGTAAGCAGATAACTTTCTTTAGCTCCAGTATATTTAACTGAAAGGAGATGAACATTCAAGTACATTACAGCAACAATCGTTACCATGTCTCAAATTCACACTCTTGTCACAACTAGAAATAAAGTTGCTCATAGAGGCACATTTGAGTCATGATGAATCTTACCATCACGTTGTTTCTGCATCTGAACAGTGAGATCAAACATTTTGCAGTCACTTTCCCTCTCCATTGGTCTAGCATAGTACAGTGTTGTTACCTATTGAAAGGATATTTATTACAAATAAACAAATTTAACAATAAATACAAAATCTTAAGACAAACAAGACTCATGTAGTATGTGTGAATACTCACTTTGAGAGATCCCACACCAGTCCCCTTAGCAGTAACATTAAATTCCTGCTTGAGCTTAACCTATGGATGCACATCATTCAATCTTAATATTTTCAGAGTTAAACACAAAGGCTTGGATAAACTGAAATAGAGGTCTGGAAGTATATCAGTATCTTGCTTTCAGATAAAGTCTTTTCTGCTGAGTGTGCTGCTGTCACTGCCCTGATGGGATGACTGACAGGTTGGGAAGTCCATAAAAATGAAAATGCAATCAGGCTGAATGCATTTTCAAAGGCATTTTGCCACAGAATGAGTACAGTAGTTGAGAATAATGTAACTGCAAAAAGAGTTTTGCCCTTGTTCGAGCGTAGTGTTCTGCAATGTAAATGCATTATTAGAGAATCAAAAGGCATATAAGATCAATTACATTTTAACTAGCACTTTGATAAAATTAATGCAGAACCACTTTCAGCATAAATATGCAGTTCTGAAAATACATTTAAATCAATAATTTAAATAAACTACACATAAATCATGAAAATCTTTGTACAAATTAAATTTCAAAACTGGCATGCCAAATGGCAAATTGAAATCACAGTATTGAATTAGAATTTACATTTTGAGCTATTGAATATATGAATGGGAAATTTAAATTCAGACAAATACACTGGCAATTTTACATATTACATTTTAATTTTGATACTGATATGCTTCCATACAGGAGTAGAATTTATTTGAATATATATGTAGAATTTGCCACCTTCTTAAAAGGCTTAAACTTTAACTGAAATTCATGCCATCAGATATGTTTTTTTCAGATTAAGTCTAATCTCAAACACAAGGCAAAGCAACAATCATGATCAAAGACAAAAAAGGAAAAATGTGGTTTAATATAATTGTTGAGAAATTTAACCTTCTCTGAACGGGTGAGGTGTGAGGTGTCCCTTTTGAAAATCCATCTGTTGGATTTGCTTCTTTCACTCACAGCCACCTCCACGTCCAAGTCCACATCTTGAAGTTTCTTCACTCGCTTGTAGTACTCAGCCACAGATTGGAAGACCATGATAGTTGCCTGGGTGACAAATAATATGCAAAGATGGGACTAAATACTGTCTCAGAGGATTGTATACATTCTTGCTTTTGAGGTTTTGTATAAGTTAAATGGAAACAAGTCTCAGTTCTTTCATGAGCCCTATTTGGATGGGATTAACTTTACTGTACCCTCCACAAATAATGGCACCCCTGTAAAACATGAACAGGCTGTACAATATTTATTGCTTATGCTTTTGATCTTTCACTTAAAATATTTACAAAGTCTAAACTTTTTTTTTGTAAAAAAAAATCAAATCTGTATGCGTCACAGTTGTTGACATCCCTTCATTTAATACTTTGTATAGCCTACTTTTGCAAAAATAATAGCTGGATTTTCTTCTACAATGCATAATAAGGCTGGAGAACACATGATTAAGGATCTGAGCCCATTCCGCCATACAGAACCTCTCCAGATCCCTTCAATTCTGATGTCCACATCCTCTTAAGCTCATCCCACATGTTTTTCTATGGGGATAAGTTCAGAGGACTGGATAGCTATGACAAAACCTTAATTCTTTGTTCAGTGAACCATTTTTGTGTTGACTGATCATTGTCCTGCTGGAAAATCTAATCTATGGTGCAGTTTAAGCTTCCTGGCTGAGGCAGTCAACTTTTGCTTTAATATCAGCTGCATACTTCACAGTGGGGATACCTTTCTCCTTGGCTATATCTGTGTCTGCACCAAACTCATTTCTGCTGTTTGCTGCCCAAAACCTCTATTTTGGTTTTGTCAGACCCTAGAATATGGAAGATTCAGTGACATCTGGTAAACTGTGGGATCTTGAGTTTGTTGATCCTTGACAGCAGAAGATTTCTTCTGGCAACCCCCAAACAACCTGTGGTTATATGGGTGGTACTTAATTGTAGTTTGGCCGACGTTCTGACCCCAAGGCTAACTAATGTCTGCAATTCCTTGTCTGTTATCCATGGAAATTCTTCATCCACTCAAACCATCCTCCTCACTGTGTGTGGGTTCAGTATAAACATATGTCCTTTTTCCCAGAATATTATTAACATTTCCAGTTGTTTTAATCTTCATAATTTTTGCCATGCTAGTGGGAATGGGTATTTTCAACTGTTTAGCTATGAATAAAGCTGTTTTCTTATTTGCGCAGCTAAACAAACTTTTGTCACACATAAGTGCTGTATTCTCTGGTCTTTCTCATAGTAGTGGATGACTTAGGGAATTTGGCACCTCACATATATACCCTGGTGAACCAGAAAGTCATATTTTATGATTTGAGTGTGCCTAATTGCTCAAGTGAACTTTATAATAAAAAAAAATGACAGGGAAACATACTTCAATTAAATTTCACTCACAGAATATACAATTGTGGCAAACATATATTTGAGAACCATTTATTTCACCAGAAGATGTCAGTTTTTCTTCATTGCTTGTACTAAAGGTAAGATTTTTGTTAATATTTTGACTCAAAGATCAAAAGGATCAAGACAAAAAAGTTCAGCTAGGAATTCTGCTCAATCTGCAAACGTTTTTGAGACATTTTGGAAGTTCAACTCTACACATATTATCCAGATGGCAATCAAAAAACAGCTACTAACAGAAACTAAAACATCTATGGGAGGCATGCAACCTATTTGAGCCTTCAACATACTGAGACTTTGCAAATAACTTAAAGAACTTAACAACGATAACTCAAGAACTGGAAGCATATTAGTCAACCAGTTTTAGAAGGCCACTAAGATTGTCCACTAGGCACTGAAAGTTGACAGTTATTTTAGAGCCAGAGAATGAGCGACATAATTGCACAGTTTAAAGTTATTTCATAACATGCAACATGTGTTCACAATCTTCAATTGTTTGCAAAGTAAACTTTATGAAGTAGTCCTGCGATTGTCATTCAGTCACTTTGAATTTGATCATGAAATAAATTTTGCAGACTATAGGTGAGTAATTATCCAAAAATTTGCTAAAAAGTACTATTTTGTAAGTAAAATCAAGCTAAACTAAAAAATCTGCTTTTTATTTGCCATGATTTCAATCACAACTATATGCACCATGGCACATACAAGATGAGGCACCCAGTGCGCACAAATAGTGCAGTTTCACATTGAAAACAATAGAAAAAAGTGCTGCAAAAATCAGTTCTGGAGTGTATAGCAGTTGTAGTCCTTCAGGTCATGTAAACAGTAGAGAACAAATCCAGATGTTTGTGGACAAGGATATACAAAATGCCCAAAGGTTGTTTAACTTAAGGCTGTATTGCAATGTAATGTCAGCAATGATTTAGGATATTACAGTTTGCTTGCTGAAAAAAGCCTTCCCTCTGGATTTCAGCCTATATATTATAGATTGATAGATATTTTTATCTTTTCTTCTGAAATCAAACCTACAGCGCCCTGTGTGAAAAAGTGTGGTCATTATCCACAAATTGCGAAAACATGGAACAGTGGTGAACCTTCCCAGGAGTGGGTATTAGACTTGGTTATTTATGTATTTATTTATTAAGAAAAAAATGATAAAAAATGAATATTATATATCTGTGAGAGGCAAAAGTATGTGAAACATTAAGATTAGCAGATAATTTGAAGGTCAGTTGTTTTCAATGGGATTGCAGATTGCAGTCAGGTGTGAGTGACTACCCTATTTTATTTAAAGAACAGGGATCTATCACAGTCTGGTTGTCACAACACGTTTGTGCAAGTGTATCATGGCATGAACAAAGGAGATTTCTGAGGACCTCAGAAGAAGAGTTGATGATGCACATCAGGCTGGATATATAGAGTTTGTACACCCCCAATCCACAGTTAGACAGATTGGATACAATTTCAAGATCATTGTTATGCTCTGAAGGAGTGGTCAACCAACAAAGATCACGCCAAGAGCAAAGCATGTAATGGTCTGTGAGGTCACAAAGGAATCTAGGGTAACTCCCAAGCAACTAAAGGCCTGTCTCACCGTGGCTACTGTTAATGTTCATGAGTCCACCATCAGGAGAACACTGAACAACAATGGTGTATGTGGCACGGTTGCAAGGATAAAACCACTGCTTTCCATAAAGAACATTGTCGCCCATCTGCGGTTTGCAAAAGATCACATGGACAAGCCAGAAGGCTACTGGGACAATGTTTAGTGGACGGATGAGACCAAAATAGATCATTTTCGTTTAAATCCCTTTTTGTTTATCCCTTCTTTAAAATACACAGTGCTGGTAGTATTATGGTTTGGGTCTATTTTGCTGCATCTGGGCCAGGACATCTTGTCATGGAAGAATGAACTTCGAATTATACCAGCAAATTCTAGATGAAAATGTCAGGACATCTGTCTGTGAGCTGAAACTCAAGAGAACGTGGGCCATGCAGTAAGACAACGAACCTAAACACACAAGTCATTCTACCAATAAATGGTTAAAGACGAATGAAGTTAATGTTTTGGAATGGACAAGTCAAAGTCCTGACCTTAATCTTATAGAAATGATGTGGAAGGACCTGAAGCAGCAGATCATGGGAGGAAACCCACCAACATAACATAGTTGAAGCTGTTTTGTACAGAGGGATGGGCTAAAATTTCACCATGCCGATGTGCAGGACTAATCAACAGTTACTGCCACCATTTAGTTGCAGTTATTGCTGCACAAGGGGGGTCACACCTGATACTGAAAGCAAAGGTTCACATACTTTCGCCACTCACAGATATACACTAATCATCAAAAAATAGTTGCACCCAGAAGAAACTCTTGGATTGAAATGCTATTCGGAAGCAGTGTCTCTCAGTATGGCGTTGGGCCGCCATGTTTGCTAATACAACATGCCAGGCACCACGGCATGGAGTTGTAGAGGTTCCTAATGGTGTCCTATGATAATCCATCCCATGTAGCTTGAATATTCTCACACAGCTTCTGCAGATTTTGCGGTAGGGGTGGAGTGTTTTATAGCGCGTCCAATAACATCCCACACATTTTTAATCGGGGATAGGTGTGCTGCAAAGGCAGGGCTACTGGTTTCAGGACCTCATTAATGTAACATTGAGCTGTCAAAGTGCCTGTAATGAAAACCAAAGGTGATCTGGCATCATATGAAATTGCACCCCCACATCAAGACACCAGGCCTTCTGTACGTGTGACAACAAACCGTTCAACTTGGCACTGACCACAATGCCTCCACACATGGATACGTTGGTGGTCTCCACCAAGATGAAAATGGGACTTGTCATTGAAGTTGACCTGCTGCCATTCTGAGTCACTCGATGACAGTCTGGCATGACACCAGTAGAGTCTTTGGCGACACTGACATGGTGCTAAGGGCAGTCATTGTAATGGTCTGCAAGCATGCGGTTCTGTATCGTGCAGCCATCTGCTAATGGTGCTTGCACTAACAGGATGACTCACGGAGGGTATCACTGCTCGTTGAATGTCAGCAATCATGGCTGTTGTATCACTTTGCACATGTTGGAAAATCCATCCGTTCTCCCTCTCTGTGTTCGTGTAGGTTGCCCAGATCCTTTTATGTCCCTAGTGTATGCCTTCTTCTATACACTGCTGCCAACAGCATGCTAAAGTAAAGTAATGTCCGCATGTCCAGTATGGCGCGCAATATGTCGATAAGACCATCCCACTTCCCGGAGCCCTACAATGCAACCCCTTTTAAACTCTTTCAACTGCTCTATTTGTTTTCACGAGTCAGAATGGAAAGCAGGTGCAACAGGGTGACCTTATATATTCAGTCAGGTACAGCGATAAGTCTTGTCCTTGCTTACATCACATGCATGGCCGAGCATGACACTTGAATCACTCACATCTCTCATAATGTACTTATTGTGCCATGGATTACCGCGGGATGGACCTAGGTAAGCAAAATTGTTTTCTCACGCCATAATCACAGCACTGATTTTTTGCCTTTGAAAGAGGAAATAAAACAAACACACTGAAGGAAACTTTTTGCTCCTGGAATTTTTCTGAATGTGTGCTTTGAATTTAAGATTAGCCACTACCTGTGGTATCAGCATATCATTGTGCATGAATAAGGCCTACCTGTGTGGTCTCACTACTTCCATAAGGACTGGTCTGCCTATTGAGCCAGTGCACGGCTTTCCCTGCTGCGTCAAACTCCTTCACTTTCACCAGAGCCAGCAGGGCATAGGCCGTGGCCTCCAGGGTGAAGTGGTGACCTCCAGAAACTTGCCAGAAAGAACCGTCTGTTCATAAAAGGAAAAAAAAGGAAGCTGTAGATTACAACGGAATTAGTCTCTAAACTCTTAATTTAGGGTGCTGTTCTGTGTGTGTGTATATATATATATATATATATATATATATATATATATATGTGTGTGTGTGGTATGTGTGTGTATGTATGTATAGCCCAACCCCGTTTTGAGGTTCACTGACCTTCAGAGGAATATTTCATCAGGAGATCTTTGTTGAATTTGCCAGCGTTGGCCATGGCATAGGAGGTCATTGCAACAGCATAAGGGTTGGTCAAAGTGGGAATTCTACTCTCCAGGTAATCAATTGCCTTCTTCATACTCTCGGGAATACTCTAAAAGAGAAAAAAAAAATGTTTGTGTATATAACATGAGCTGATCTATTTTCACACATCAAATTTGACCTACCTTAACTGACTCAGCACAAAGTTCACTTCCTTCTTGCATAGCAATCAGGACAAATGCTGTCAGAGATGCATCTGCATTCTTTCCTTGCACATCTCCCTGGAATCACAGAGGAAAGCCTGCACTAAAACATGGATTTCACTGAACTAAAAATTTCAACATTTTAAGAGACACCATTCTTCAAGATTTGTTCAGCCAAAAGCAAAGGCTGATTTCAACTTACGACCATCTCCCCATGAACCACAGGTGCATGTTCTTTAAACATGCCATCTGGCATCTGTCCTTTCAGAACCAGCCACTTAAGAGCGCTGCAGAGAACATTCTCCTGAATGGGAATGAGGTCACTGGCCATGGCGAAGACTTTGGCAACGTACGCCGTCAGCCTTCACCACAGAGATGAACAAACAGAAAAAAATGAACAAAAATCGTAGTCACAAGTACATAGGAATATGGGAGAATTATTCGGAAAGGAGAGGAGGAGTGATTCTCAAGCATATACAGTGCTGAAAAAAAGGATTTGGGTCCTCCTCATTTCCTCTCTATTTGCATATTTGTCACACTAAATAATTTTAGATCCTCACTGTTTTGTGTCCATGCCATGTCTTTGTTTTTCTTTCTCTCTTGTATCTTGGTTGCCTTTCTTTCACAGGTTCACTGGTGTGTCAATCACTACCTCCTGCAGTATGTCGTTTGGCCAATCAATGTGCAGGATTCTGGCACTGGAGATGGAGCTTGGTGTTTTAAAAGCAGTGCATCCTACCCACCCAGAGAGAACGAGAACAACTGTGCTCGCTTGGACTCCTGGCCATGGATGGCTGTAGCATCACCAGGGATCGAACTCGCGATCTCCTGATGATAGGGCCTATGCTTAGACGGTTGCACCACTTGGGGGCCCGCCGACTGTTCTCTTTCTAATGGTGGAATCATGAATGCTGATCTTATCTGAGGTGAGTGTGGTCTGTTAATAGGATGTTCATCTGCATTCTGTTGTGACCTGCTGGATAAATAGTCGCTGTGCTCTTGGAGGGATTTTGGTCGGTCGGCCACCTCTGAGAACCTTCACTACTGCTCCAAGTTTACTCCAGTTTTCATTTTGAGATAATGTCTCTTACTGTGGACCGCTGGTGTCTCAGACCCTTAGAAATGGCTTTCTCATCTCTTCCAGAATTTCTTTTGATCAAGGCACAGTGTGCTGCTTGTTGAGACCGTTTAGCCTGCTTGACATAGCTAGAAAGGTTATATTTAAGTAATATAAATGTTCAACAGTGCTGACAGTAATCAAGCCAAGTAATCAGTTCAATTCAGTTGATCACAATTTCCAATTAGATCTGCTCAAATATTTGGTAATGACTTTCTTTTAAACAGGGCCAGTTGGTGTTGGATAACCTTTTTCCTTCGACAAACGAAATGATCATTTAAAAGCAGTATTTTGTTTTTACTTATGGTGTCACTGTCTTACATTAAATTTAGTTTGAAGATCTTAAGCAATTAAATGTGACAAATATGCAAAAATAAAAGAAATCTGGAAGGGGCCAAATACTTTTTTCACAATACTGTATCTGTTTACCATGTGCTGCTGGGTCTGTCCTTCCATGCAGCAAAGGATCCGTCATCTTTACGGTAAGTCAGCTCTAGATTGTAACCTGAGAATGAGAGAGACAGATCAATCTCTGTAGTGTAAAATACTTCAAATTGTTACACAATGTCAGATTCTCAGGAGTTTTTGTTTTATACAGGGAGATTCACTCAAAAGAGGGCCCGAATATTCTGTTGTAACTCCCGTTAGGATGAAGCAATATGAACCAAAAAATTACACTACATACCTTGATGTATGTATAATCGATTGCATTACGTGTGATGCTGGAAGCGATCAGTGTTTTCTGCCAGACACATGAAGGGGTACAGGGCTATGCACCCGGAAGTTGCCAGCGGAGGTTAAACGTTGTGACGGCTGTCCGGCGCCTACCTCATTGCTCCGATGCAGGGGCATCCTTGCTTGTTCAAAGCTACATATACTGAGGAGCACATTGCACATTGTTTCGTTCAGATTGCTTCATCCTAGCGAGAGTTATTACAGAATATTTGGGGCCTCTTTTGAATGAATCTCCCTGTAGTACTGATATCATCACAAAATGAAAAATACAGAAAACAACTAGTTGAGAAGCATCTCATACACTGCAATAATACAATAATACAATACATGTTTAAAAATGTTATTTTAGGAAAATGTTGCACAATCTGCACATTCTATCACATTTTATTCTGTCCAGTCATTGTAGTTTCAACAGTGAATTTGGTCACTTACTGCTCGACCTCAAACTCTGCCAACAAGCACACCCATTGGCCCATGAGCTGCTGAATGTTGTCATTTTATTGGCTCTCCACCAAAACATTCGCATGAATTAGGGCACGCTTCATGTAAATGATATGTAAATGAGGTGCCAGCTGGCTGGCACTTGATTTCACGCACTGAATTAGATTCATCAGTTACACTCAAATCTCCACTTGTTTCCACATTATTTTTGATACCTTTTAAATGTTCAGCAAAATATATGCTGGAACAGACATTTCCATAAATGGGACAAAAGTATTGAGACACCTACACATTATACCTACAGGGGCTTTTATGACATCCCATTCTAAATTCATAGGCAATAATATGGAGTTGGTCCCCCTTTGCAGAGCTACAGCAGCTTCCACTCTTCTTGGAAGCTTTCTACAAGATTTTGAAGTGTGTCTGTGGGAATTTTTTGACCATTCATCCAGAAGAGCATTTATAGGGTGAACCCCTGAAAAAAGCCCATAGCATTATCCCTCCTCCACCAAACTTTACAGTTGGCATAATTCAGTTAAGCAGGTAACTTTCTCCTGGCATTCCTAGATTCAGATAGAGAAGCATGATTCGTCACTCCGCAGAATATGTTTCCACTGCTCCAGAGTCCAGTGGTGGCGAGATTTACACCACTCCATCTGACGCTTGGCATTGTGATGTAAGGTAAGGCTGCTCAGCCATGGAAACCCATGGCATGAAGCTCTCAGCGCACAGTTTTTGTGCTGATGTTGATGCCAGAGGAGGTTTGGAACTCAGTTATTGAGTCAGCAGAGCGTTGGTGACTTCTATGCACTATGCTCACCAGCACCTGGCGGCCCCCTCTGTAACTTTACATTGCCTGACACTTTGTATCCGAGTTGATGTGGTTCCTAAATGCTTCCATTTTTCGATAATACCACTCACAGTTGATTGTAGGAGGGAAGAAATTTCACAAACTCACTTGTTGAAATGTTGGCATCCTATTGCAGTACCACGCTTGAATTCAGTGAGCTCCTTGGAGCGACTAATTCTTTCACAAATGTTTGTAAATGTAAACTGTATAACTAAGAGCATGATTTTATGCACCTGTGGCAATGGGACTGATTAAAACACTTGAATTCAGTGATTAAGAGGTGTGTCCCAACACTTTTGTCCATATAGTGTACTCTGGAGCCATGGTGTCTTTTATCCTTACAAAACCCAAAAGCAAAGAATTATACTAATGCTAGCAAAGTGTAAGGGAAGAGGTTTCTCACCTGTCTGGATGTGTTTGACAGCTTCGGCACGACGATCCATGCCGACTCCCTCCCACTGCTTGGTGGTGTCCAGGTAGTGTGTGGCGATAAGGGGCAGGGTCATGTGGATCATGACTTGCTCTCCACAGCCAGAAGGCTGCACAATCAGGCGCCCCATGAAGTCACCACTGATGGCCTGCTCGATTGTCTGACTCACCTCCTGACCTGATGGAGAGCAAAGAAGAAAGTAAATGGATGGGTGAATGAACAGGTGGATTAGTTCTTTTAGAAAATCTGCATTGTTGTGATCTTCTGGACTGAAATCAATGTCATCATTCCTGGAGTCTGTTGGATCCAGTCCAGAATTCAGAGTGCTCTTATCACCAATGGGACTACCTTGTTTATAAACTTTAAAATTCTGTCTAGGTTCTTAGTATTTCTCCAGATTCTGACAGTTTGCTACATTTATAGCATTTGGCACATATTGTTGCTGTGCAAAGAAAACGTCTATGTCCTTTTTTTTTTCCTTTCTACTTTTACTTTTACTTTTTTACATCACTTGAGTGTGGCAGCTGTCCTTTACATTGCCTGAAATTTTCATTAAGCTTGGACCAATAGACATGCCTCAAAAATGCTTGGAATAAAATCTTTTAACATTAACTTACATTGCAAGTAAAGAATGTTTTTGCCTTCTCCCGTAAAGTTACTATTTTGGAGATTTGTTTTTCTTTGGATAGCGAGGATATATTTCCATCTAAGCATTTTTATGCATACGCAAAATGGCCAAAAGTTTCTAATTGTTGAGTTCAGGTGTTCCAGTTACACCCATTGCTATTAGGTTCATAAAACTTGTAGTCTCCATAGACAAACACTGGCAATAGAATGAACCTCCTTGTAGCTGGCCCCATCTTTAGCCCATATAAGGGGACAAAATAAGAGGCCCATGTGGAACATAATCATTCAAAAATTCTGTTTCATGACCCACCCTGTTTTTAGCAGGATTTAAGAAAAATATTTTCAGTATATAAATATATTTTTTTCAGTATAGTTGTTTCTGCACTAATTCTTATGATTGTTGGAATTGTTTACCCTAATCTACTAAAATTATTTTCTCCTCAAATCATCTGCTTGTATTAGCTGCTCAAATCTTCTGCTTAGCTGCACTTCCTACAGGTTTATGCTTTGTTTATGCAAAGACATTTTGCCAGAAATAACCAAACCTCTCCTGTCAATGATTAATTCCTCTCTTAGTCTTGACTATATCCCAAAAACTCTTAAACTAGCAGTAATTAGACCTCTGTTTAAGAAACCTATTGTTGATCCCCGCAAGTTATCAAATTGTAGACCTCAAATCTTCACTTTATATCAAATATTTTGGAAAAAAGTTGTGACACGACAACTAAGTTCCTATTTGAATAGGAATCACATGCATGAAAAAATTGTGGATTTAGGCCTGATCACAGTACTGAGACAGCACTAGTGAAAATTCTCTTTTTATTCTTTGACCAAGAAAATCTATTCTTGCTGGTTCTGCATGATCATAGTGCAGTATTTGATACTATAGACCACTCTTTCTAACTAGACTAGTAAACCTTGTAGAAGTAACAGGAATAGCTCTTTCCTGGTTCAGGTCTTACCTGACTGATCAATATTGCTATTGTATATATCACCCAAACCAGATGATAAACTTCATCTTAATATAATAGAATTGTGTATAAAAGACATTCAAAGATTGGATGTTGAGTAAATTCCTACTACTCAACTCCACCACTCAAAATCTGTTGTTAATGTGAATGAACCAATGTCCTGAAATGAGCCGCATGCACGCAACCTAATAAGTAACAACACATGAATGAACTGAATTGAAATTGTGTCATGAACAGCAAACAAACGATCGAGCAAAATGAGCCTTTGAGGCGAAGACAATTAACTCTGATCAGCTCTCAGCCGCTCATTATTAGAGCAAGACAAAGGTGAAAGGGTGAGATGTGCTGCTTTTCCACAGTTTACAGGCTTTAACATGAATTCCAATCTATGTGTTCTCATTAAGGTTGCATGGCCATAAATCAACTATGTATGTAGGACCACATGTGAAAGTGGCTCAGGTTGGATTTGAAAACATCAGATCTGAGTCACATTAGGGCAAAAATTCAGATTTGTGCCACAACAACCTGGTAATGGGAACATAACCCTTGATGTCCTGACCGACAGTCAGGGGGTCTTATCAGTCCCTTAAAGTTATGCCTCCCCTTTACCTTCAGTCAGATGTTATGCTTTTTCATTTGGTGATGTTAAAATGTTATGCTTTTTCCTTTCATCTGATAGTGGCAGCAGTACCATACAATCACAATGCAATGCACTGCACTGTGCTGACGAAGTAAGCTAAATTTTAAGAGCTTTTTTTCTCAGACAAGATTTGCAGCTCAATTTACTGAATGACATTTAGGCAAGACTACAGCCATAAAGCACAAATTTATCATTGAGAACCACCAATACTTTTCCATTAGGAGCCACAGCACATGCATGTGTCTTATATATATATACTATATAATGAATTTATTATAAATAGACATAAACAAAGTATGAACATTACAATAAATATTCAGGGGAGAGGGCAGAGAAAGTAAAGCAACTACAAGCTATCCAAGTCTCAAAGCAGCAACTTCTAATCAGCACAAATACAGTGCTTAAGTAAATATTAACCCTTTAAGGTCAAACAAAAATGTGTCTATTTATGCTGAAAACTTAATATTTTAAATTATTCGTTAATGATATTTTGGCCCTCAGGTATTTTGACATGATTCGATATGGCCCTCTTTAGACACCCCTGCTTTAAGCAGTTCATCCTTATAGCTTGGACATACTTGTGAATGTTCCTTGTCTCGTCCAGGACATCTGACTGACACTTTCTAGACTTTAATTCTGACTGGTGTTTCTTGAGGTTGGAATTTGGGTAGACTGCTCTGTTGCTTTGTGAAGAGTTGATTTTGACAGTTATGTCTTGATATTAGTTTAAATGTAGTAATTGAAAATAATTTTTTCTTGGCTAGCTTATTATGACTAGAAGAGCTATATTAATATTAATGGCTCGGATCTTGTTCTTCCCAACCAGCTGGCTGATTTAGATGTTTTCTTTCTGTTTTCTGTCTCACGGGTCCTGTATGGTAGGAGGATTGCCAGGTATTTATAGCTGGACTGTTCATCTTGATCACTTCCCTGTTTTACTATCAGCCAATCACGCTTCTCTAGCTGCAATAAATATCCCAAGGCAGTGACTTTTACAGTCTTGATGTCATCAATGTACAGAATGATCTTCAATCTTGAAACTGCATCCTCACCCACTCTTGGTCAAGATTTAGTTCGAGAGATTGTCATACCAAGGGCATGGTACATTGTCTTTGAAGATAATTTGAACAGTTGTCTTAAAGTTTGTTTGTAATGTTGTTCTCTAGAGGCCAGTGAGTTATTGATAAAGGCTTTTGGTGTCCTATGTTGTGCTAGGCACTTAAGCATCCATTTCTAATGCATTTGATTTTTTTCTCGTTGAGTTGTTTGTTTACTTGTAGTCAATCTTGGAAACTTGGACTGCATTGTCTAAGAACACTGGTGATGCCTAGGAGTCTTGGTGGATCCATCCATTCATCCATCTATCCAAAGATTGATTAATCTATCTATCTATATTGGTATGTAATATCCTAAAGATAGATCTATACTGGTGTTAGTGTCCTAACATATCCTATCACAAACTGTGATAGTGGTAGTGGTATGAATGAATGAGCAGGTTTTTGTTGATATATACCTAGACTAGGTCATAACAATGGACAATAACAGAATGGCTGTATAGACACATGTATGTTTTCCCTTACCAGACACAGTGATGTATGTATGAGCAGGAGTGTTTGGGACTTGATCTTGTGGTACTTCACTCTTCACACGCACAACTTGCACTCCACCTTTTCACAGCAGAGAGACCAAGACAGAGTTAGACAAATCCCTCGTAATGGGTAATATTGACATAGCATGAATTGGAGATATGTAAAGGTCAACATAGTAAAAATTCCCCACCAGGAACGTTAGAGGGGTTGAGCTCCACATTCTTCTCCTCAACTGTTTTTAACACACCTTCAGACTGAGAAAGAGAAAGATAAGGTAATGGATCCTTTAATCAATTTTAGATATTGATATCTTTCAGTAACACTTTATTGTAGTTTACTGTACTACATTATCATTTGTTAAAATGATTCCAAGTGTCATTTGTTATAAAGGTTGCATTTCCTAACTTTGATGTCAAGTAAGTCAATCTCATTGACATCTATGCCAAGTGAGATTGCTTTTTTTTACTGACTTTAGGTTTTGTCATGATACTTTTTGGAGTAAAATGACATAGACTTTGTAGATCAGTTAATGGCACAGTGACATTCTTATAACAGCTTGCCATTTTGTAAAATGAGATTCATTTTTCCACTTACAAGATCACTTATGAAAGAGTTACCCATTTTTTGTTTTCTCATGGGAAATGTTGATAGTCTAAAGTCTTAGACCTTACATCTGCTTATGTTAATTGTAGATTTTACACTGGAGTAGAAACACAATTCCAAAAAAGTTGGGACAATATTTGAAGTGCTAATAAAACCAGAAAGTGAAACAGATGCGAATTCTGTTTGACCTATATTAAACTGAAAACAGGACAGAAAAACATATTTGATGTGTTACTGTATTCCAAATTGAATTCCTGCAAAATGCATTAAAAAGGTTGAAACATTGCGTCACTTTGCTTATCATTTTAACAACACTTAATAAACATTTGGGGGCTGAATGCAAAAACTGATCCACTTTCAAAAGCAGAAATTTTTCTATTACTTCATTAAACAAGTCTGCAACTGTGTGGGGCCTTCATTATCGTATTTTGCACCTCATAATGCACCACCAGTTTTCAGTGGGAGGCAGTTCTGGATTGCAGACAGGTCAGTCTAGCACCCCCACTCTCTGATTATACAACTATACTTTTCTAACACATGCAGGATGCTTTTTGGTGTTAATGTTGAAATAAGCATAAAACATCAACAAAAAATGATTTGCCCTTTCTTTCATTTTGCATATTTTCTACACTCGAATGTTTCAGATCATCAGACTTCTTTTAATATGAGAAAAACATAATCCGTGTAAATGCAGAATGCTGTTTTGATTATTTAATTCATTGATGAAAAAATGCTGTTCAGCCCTACTTGGCCCTATGTGAAAAAGTAATTCTCCCTTTAGCTACTAAATCAACCAGTTCACCAAATTCAATTGACCGTTGGGTTCAATGTCACCAGTCACACTCAGACATGAATACTGCCAGACCTATTGAATCTAAACATCACTTAAAGAGCACCTCTCTTAGGAAGCAGCTAGAAGGTCTCAAAAAGCAGCACATGATGCCACATTCTAAAAAGATCCAAAAACAGATGTAAAACAAAGTCATTGAAATCTACCGGTCTGGAAAGGGCTACAAAACCATTCTACGGCTTCCAAGTTTCTACTTGAAACTTGGAAGGTAGATTCGTACTTTATACACAGATTTCTTTCCGAATTCCCAGAATCTTTGATAATATTAATATGCACTGTAGAGGGTGAAATACCTAGAAACCTAGCAACCGCTCTTTGAGGAACATCGTTCTGAAACTGTTGTGTTATTTACAGATGCAATCCATCCTTACTCATGTGGGACTATGCCTTTCCTGGATTTATTTCCCTTTATATGCAAGCATGATTGCATCACTTGTTTAAGATGTTTTTTGAACATTTCACGACATTCCTGGTCTTAAATTACCCAACTGTCCCAAATGTCCCAACTGTCCCAAAGTGAATTTACAAATGACTGCTATCTGTTTTGATTTGCGTTTTTATTTACTGTCCCCACAATTGTTTTGAATTGTTTTGTTTTGTCTGCGTTTTTACAATACCAATTCTACAGTCTTTCAAATGTAGTACAATAATAAAAATCAACATCACATCTTTATGCATGGACATCAACCTTTAACTTTCCTGTGCCATGAATTCCCTTTGCTATGTTAATGCCATCTGTCCTGGCTAATGCTGAATGACATTCTTGGAAATTCTCTAAGAATAGAGTGCTGACACTCCTCAGCTGACACTCACCACCACCTTCAGCTCCTTCCTTACTCCGTCAGCATGTCCGTCACGAGACATAGCCTTTACTTCAATCCAGTGGTTGCCCAGATCCATGGGAATAATAATATATGAGATAGATCTGGAGGACATTGCACCAACGACAACTGTGGTACGATACTTGCCCTTCTTGCTGGCCGAGCTGCAAACATGTTCCGTCTCTGTGAATTCCACACGCACCTAGTAAGGAAAGGGAGCCAGAAGCATCGACAAAAAAATAAGGTGCCTCATTAGCAAAACGTTCATCTGTGAAAGATACAGAGTAAACTGAACTCTTTTAACCATGAACTCTTTTAACGAGACACTTTGCCCTTACTGTTATATGATCACACCTGTAAATTGGCTATGTCAGTGACAAATCAAGTCAAGGTGTATTTACAACCCCATTTCCAAAAAAGTCGGGACGCTGAGCAAAATGTAAATAAAAAAAAAATTAAATGATGTGCCAATCATTTAAACTCTGTATTTAATTGAAAATGGTAAAAAGACAACAAATCAAATGTTGAAACTGAGAATTTTTATTGTTTTTTGAAAATTATATGCCCATTTTGAATTTGATGCCACAAACACTTTCCAAAAAAGTTGGGACAGGGGCATGTTTACTACTCTGCACCCCTATACCATCATAAATACTGGCTTTTGAACTGTGCACTGATAACAAGCTGATTGGTCTTTAGCCCGGAGGACACAGTGTCCATGATTTCCAAAAATAATTTCAAATGTTGATTTATCGGACCACAGGACACTTTTCCACTTCTCCTCAGTCTATTTTAAATGAGCTCAGGCCCAGAGAAGGTGGCAGCATTTCTGGATCTTGTTTATGAACAGTTTTTTCTTTGTGTTTAATAGTTTTAATTATTTGTGGATGCAGTGATTAACTGTTTTCACAGACAGTGGTATTCAAAAGTGTTTCTGAGCCCATGCAGTGATTTCCACTACAAAATCATGTCTGTTTTTAATGCAGTGCCCCCTGAGGTCTCGAAGATCATGGGCAGCAAATACTGGTTTTTGGTCTTGTCCCTTGCATACAGAGATTTCTCCAGATTCTCTGAACCTTTTAATGTTATTATGTACTGTAGATGAAGAAAATCAAAAGTTCTTTGCCATTTTATGTTGAGAAACGTTATTCTTGAACTGTTGCACTATTTGTTTGTGTGATTTTTCACAGAGTGGTGAACCCCTCTTCATCTTTACTTCTGAAAGACAGCCTCTCTGAGATGCTCATTTTATACCCAACCATATTATTGACCTGTTGCCAATTAACCACCGGTGCTGTTGGCATCAAATTCAAAAAGGGCATATATTTTTCAAAAAACTATAAAATTTCTCAGTTTCAACATTTGATATGTTGTCTTTCAATCATTTTCAATGTAATGTAGGGTTTAACTGATTTGCACATCATTGCATTTTGTTTTTTATACACATTTTTAAAAGCATCACAACTTTTTTTAGAAATGGGGTGGTATATAGAGCTTTTTACAACAGGTGTCACAATGTAGCTTTACACAAAACTGGGTCCCAGCCACCATGAGCAAGCCAAAGGCAACCAGTAATAATATGTGCTTACTTTTTAGCATTTTCTATATAATGTATAGAAGCTGTACCACCATCATCTGTCAGTGTCTATGCCTTTCCACTTTAGCTTAAGAAATGTACCGTTTGTTTCTTATTAGAGAAGTTGTGCACAATGGCCTTGATTTCTAATTGCTCATTGCGCACTGCTGAGTAAGGCAACTTCAGGTCCAGAAAGAAATTCATTTTAACTATCATTTCCAAGGGATCAGCCACACAGATACCTGAGAGAAAAAAGAAACATATTCTACAATTAACGTGTTGCCATTGCAATTTTATGTGTACATTTGTTATAGCACACAAAAGCTTGTAGGGATCATTAAAAAAGGTTTTAGAGTTAATATATTTTTGCTAAATTATGTTGTTATATTTCTACAAATTTCTAAATTTCTGCAAGTGTGAAACTGGACACTGACCATGGGTCTTAGACAGACTAATGGCTAGGATCTGCCAGGTAGTGATGGAGTCTTGCAGATAGTTTTTGTCTTTCTCGAAGGTTGTTTTATCACTGGAAGGAAACAATAGATGTATCAAGGCACTCACTGACAATTACACGACAATTACAAAGACAACACAGCTCCAAAACTGGTAAATATTGTAGCTGCCCAATGAAAACCATTTATCTCCATTTTTATCAATTTTTAGTTTTTGTACATCATTTCAACATACCAGCTGTCCATGAATAGACCAATAGAAATACTCTAAAGTCACGTGGAATAATTTTTTTTTACATTTACTTATATTGAAAGGTAAGAGTGTTTTTGTCTTCTTCTGTAAAGTTACTATTTTGGAGATACTTGTTTTCCTTTGGACAGCGACAATATGTAAATCTACTACATATCTGCATATGCGTGCTGCTGAAGAAAAAACAAACTTCTTCTGTTCTTCTAATGAAAAAACAAAACATCAGTACATTTTACTGTATTTAGCTTTATTCATGTTATTCTAATGTAGTGTTACTGGCAAAACACACCACTGAAGTGATTTATTATTATTATTATTATTATTATTATTATTAGTGTTTTTTTCTGCAGGTTGCCTCAGACTTTCAGACATTACTTCCTGTTTGCCATTTACCACAGACTGTTTTCAGTTAAACATTTATACAGTGCCCTCTACCAATATTGGCACTCCTTGTAAGACAGGAGCAGAAGAAAGCTGCTGTCAAGGACCAACAAACATCTGTAATTTACCAGAGATTATTGGGGGACAGATGAGACCAAAATAGAAGTTTTTGGCAAAAAAACACCAGAGGTAGGTTTGGCATAAACACAAAGATAGCCATGCAAAAAGTACCTCATATCCACTATGTCCCAGTCCCCTGACCTAAACCCTATAGAAAACCTCAGACTCAGGGCTGTTGTCTTTGTAAAGGGAGGCTGCACAAAGTATTAAATGAAGTGTTGCCAACAACTGTGGCATGAACAGATTCGAAAAAATGTTTTATTATAAGATTTATTTTTTATTATTTTTTTTTCTTTGAATCGTTGTACTTCAAATAAAGGTTAGATTTTGAATAACATATTGGTACTCTTTGCACCTTGGTATCTCTATGTCATCCCAGAGCCAGCTCTCAGGAAACCGCGTACGTGACACAATATCAAGAAAATCTCCATAGTCCTCTTCTTCACCTGTGTAGGCATTGAAAAACACACACACAATATAATGGATAATAAATATAAACAGTTGAATGCTTTGAAGTGACAGATATTGCTCCTCACCAAAAAAGGTGAAGTGTGCCACCTGGTAAGCAACTTTCTATTTTAAAAAAGCAGCATGGAGAGATTCACTGCTTGATTCAGGGGCTGAATCTTTGAGTGTTTTCACATATAGCTCAGATCTCCATGACTCACTTTGCACTGCTTTTGGAAATTTACACCATAAATGATGACTCAGAGAACAAACTAATCCTTTTGAGGTTTCTTACAACTTGCTGACAAGCAATTGTCCTCTCAGTTTTCATATGGCTATGCCAAATGCAGGGACAGTGATTGATGAAGGGATTTCATGTTGCTTAAGAGAGGGTGAATGAGGTCATAGTTTTGCCATCCTAACAAATTACACTTTGTGTGGTTTAATGTAACCCTGCTGGTGATCACCATTTTTTAAAATATATCCAATTACAGAATAAGTAATGGAATACAGTAGGGCTTCAATAACTTATCAACATAATTGAAAATGATAAAAAAAAAGTTGGCAACAAATCTTGTTAGTGATTGGTTGGCTTGATGACATGTGCACTTCAAGATCTAATATATTCATTCATTTGTCATCTTTAACCACTTGATCCAGCAAGGGTCGCGCTAGCAGTTGGGAGAGCAGAAAATCCCAGATGACTCGGGGCGCTCCCAGACCAACTTGGAGATATAATCCCTCCAGAAGGTCCTGGGACGACCCCGGGGTCTTGTCCCGGTAGGCCGTGCCTGTTAAACCCCCATAGGGAGAGTGACCAGGGGGCATCCTGATCAGATGCCCATACCACCTCAACTGGTTCCTCTCAATGTGGAGGAGTAGCAGCTCTGCTCGCCCTGTCAAGCAGAGTGTAGCCTGCCACCCTGCAAAGAAAGCTCATTTCCAACGCTTGCATTCGCAATCTCATTCTTTCGGTCATTACCCAAAGCTCATGACCATAGGTGAGGATGGGGATGTAGACCAACTGGTAAACAAAGAGCATTGCCTTATGACTCAGCTCCCTCTTCACCACTACAGTCCTGTGCACTGACCGCATTACTGCTGCTGACTGTCCCAGCCTGCGACTGATCTCACAGTCCCTCTTCCCATCACTCGTGAACAAGACCCCAAGATACTTAAACTCCTCCCTGTCACTCCCTGTATATAACTGTCTGTTTGTAACTTCTCATTGCGAAGTATCGTCACCTTGTTGTGCATACTGAGCATTTTTCTTATGCTAGTCTTGTTACTCTGTGTATGACCCATTTTCTGTTAATGACCTTGATTCCTGCCTTATCCCTTTTGCTTCTGTTTATCGATTGGCATTAAAGTTCTTAACTTAAGCCTCTTCTGGGAGTGTCTGGTTCTGTCCACCACCGTTACAAAGTCATATTTTAATTTTTAGTCTTTTTTTTTTCTAGATTACTAGTACTTTAAGGGACTTGTGTTATTCCGCCACCTCTGCCCTTAATTGTAACTAAGGGGTCTGAAAATCAGCCCCAGACCATCCCTCCTCCACCACACATTACTGTTGGCACTATACTTTCTGTAGGGAGCACTCTCCTGGCATCTGGCAAACCCAGATTCATCCAACAGACTGTCAGATGGTGAAGCATGATTTGCCTCTCCAGAGAACATGCTTCCAGTGCATCAGTGGAATTGTGCTTTACACTACTCCTGCTGATTTTTGGCGTTGCACATTGTGATTTTAGGCTTGTGTGCAGCTGTTCTGCCATGGAAAACAATTTCATAATGTTGTTTACAGAGGCACTTTCCATTTCTCATGCTTCCATTTCACAACAATAGCACTTACAGTTGACAGGGGCAGATCTAGCTGGGCAGAAAATTTCACAAACTGACAATGGTGGCATCCTATAACAGTGCCATGTTTAAAGTCTCTGGGCTCTTCAGCACAACCCATTCTAATGCCAGTGTTTGTCTATGAAGATTGCATGGCTATATGTGCTTAATTTTATAGACTGGTTAGCACTGGGTGTAGCTTAAATACCTGAATTCAATAATTAGGAGGGATATCCACATACTTTTGGAGATATAGTGTACAACTGAGTGGAGCTTTTGCCCTGACCATTGAATCAAGCAGATGAAGGAGGCAGCAATGGTGTAAGGACTTGGTGAAATTTCTTGCTTATACAACTTACTGCTATGATTTACAAACTGTTATAAAAAAATTGGCTTCAAAAATCACAGTATCACAAATAATTTTAATGACAATACATGACTTGGCAACCGCATTGAATGTTTCAAGCTTCTCTGAAGACCTCCCACAATTCAAACAAGGATACAGAGCAAAGTTGGTTCTTACTTCGAGCCAGGTGCATTTCCCCCTCTCCCTCCTCCTGCTTGCGTGATTGCATCTCCTTGCAGCAGTGCAGGAAGGCTTGGACACATTCTGCACCGTCGGTGATGAACGTAGCTCTCCGCTCGCATGTGTAGCCCAGCCGATTCTTCCTCAGTCCATCTGCGCAACATTTCTTTTGTTTGCCAGTGTATTTTCCAGCTAGATCAAAAACAGTAAAGAGGTCAGTGCTGGGATGGGCAGGACAAACCTGTGTATAAAGTGCCATTAAGATCTATAGATGTTTGTAGAAGATCTGCAACACAAGTGTACTTCATGAAACCTGACAATATTTAGATTGTAGATTTAGATTCATGTCCAGATTCTTACTCAGTGTTTGGGTGATCTGTAGAACAGTCTCAGCTCTCCGTTTTCTCTTTGGTGAAGTGGGACAGTCCGGTGCTAGACAGGAAAAAGAATGTCCATTATTGTTACTTTCAGTCTTGGCTTCTAAATTTAAATGAAAACACTTAAATGGAAACCTCTTCAGTGTATTCAGAAAATGCCATTGCTATAATTGAACCATATTTGAGCTGTATTTTTATGTTCTACATTGTCTCAATTGCATTATGGGTTGAAAATTGCAAAATCTACAATACTTGTTCTAGAGCTGGTGCCTCCCACTTTGTCAGACTCAAACAGCAGACCAGCATCATAGAAAACCCCCATGCTGTCTTTACCACTACCAGCTGTACAGCCAGTGTCATGCTTCTCAACGATGTCCCAAATCTGTAGTTGGAAAAAGGACAGAAGTTTTTAGATAACTGCAGTACAATATTCACCCAACAAGCAACGTCAGTGGCAAGGTATGGTAGTTACCAGTCCAGATAAGCCCATGTTCTTGACATGCCATTATCCTTCAACTTAACGTAATCAATTACCTTCTCCTGTGTAAGTCTGTTCTTGTTCAGGACAAAGATGCCCTTGTCCACAGCTACAAGACCAACCTTGGCACCAGGATCTCCAGTAATCAAGAGGTCAAACCTTTCCCCAGGTACATATGATGCCTGGGGTTCCTTTATTTTCACTTTTAACTAGGTCAAAGAGTAGAGAGAAACAGGTCAAGTCAAATCAAGATTTATTTATATAGCACTTTTACCAAAGGCATTGTCACAAAGCAGTTTTACAGAAAGTCCATGTCCGAAATGGAACCCCAAATGAGCAAGCCAAAGGTGACAGTTGCAAGAAAAACCTCCCTAAGAGCAAGAGGACGAAATCTTGAGGGGAACCAAGACTCAAAAGGGGAACCCATCCTTCTCTGGTTGACACAAAACAATAAGGCAACAAGAGCAATAAGAATAAAGGATAAGATTTGATAATGAATATATTATAGTGCATACAGAATGAAGAAAAGAAATCATCTTGTTATTGGACTGTATATAGTATTTAGTACTAAATACTAGTATTTTGATCAGTGTTTAGATTAACCAATGATAACAGTGGGTAGTTTTAGAGGGCTATCACAGTAACAAACAAGAAATAAATCTAAAAAACCAGTGACTACAAGTAAGATATACAGAATTCTTAAGATAACAGAACCAGGTTGAAGATTCATATTAGATAACTTCTGAGAAAGACTACTGAGATGATCTTGTGATAACCCTGAAGTCTCTATGTGAAATGCTCAGAAGAAAAGTTCTTATTAATTTAACTTGGCAGTTTACTGAAAAATATGACTGTCAAAGCATCTTTGCACCATTTATGTTGGTTTTCAATGCTATAAAGTAGGGATGCATTGATACCAATACTGGTATGGGCTATTGGCCTGATACTTGCTCATTTACTTGAACTCACATAGTTGATACCATGTGATATAAGTCTAGTCAGTGTATGCTGCTGTGCTAGTGAACAAACAACTCAAGCTGGCGGTGAACAAGGGTCTGCTCACACAGCTCACACAGAGAAATGTTACTAACACTGTGGCAGTTGGACAAAAAGTTGTCAGTCTCTTGTTAAGCATTCCACCTTGGCATACACCCACCATACCTACCCTGTGTGATTTTAGCCACTTCCTCAATATGGTTGGAAACATTTGCTTTGGTGTATAATATAAAAGTGAATACAGTGGTTTTTTTTTTTTGGTTTTTTTTGTTTTTTTTTGTAAAATAGCCTGTAGAGAGTCTGTAATGTCCTGCTGTGTACACCTACGCCTGCATTTAGCTTCAGTGCACAGTGTTAGAAGCACCGATGTTTGCTTGGTACTTTGTGCATAGCGTATTGTTTTGAATGAAACAGCTTCAAACGAAATTGTTCATAGACAGAGCTGTTGTAGGGGCTGTGTTTCACATAGCATGGACTGAGTGTTTTCGTATTATGTGTGTAAATCAATAGTAGGCTTTGTCTGTACATGATAGTCTACTCAAATGTACAGTGAGAGTCACCAAAGAACAATATTTCTAAAATCACATAGTGTAAGTCTGACTTTACAGGACATTTAACTACAGCTCAACTAGCCAAACAGAAAACTCCAACAAGATGTAAAACTCCACGAGTGCACTAACAACTACTAATTCTAAGCAGGCTACTCAGTATGGTATTGAAATCGGTATCGGTGAGTACTAATAACGTAGTTGTACTTGTACTTGGTTTAAGAAAATTATATAGATGTATCACTACTATAAAATTGTGGCAGTTATGTTGTTGAAGAGTGGTAAAATTGGAGCAGAAGACAGTGGAAATTATATCTGTTGTGTCCTGTTAATATCTGTGGAAGAAGGCAAATTCAATAAACACACATATCCTCCAAAGTGTGCAGTGTCTGTCCATAATCTGAAACCAAACCAAACCTGAATTTTAACTGAATCTGCATTAAAATCAAACAATTGGTAAGCCAGGCAGGAGGAGTTTGAATCTTTATCAGTAACAAATTCCTTAATGCTTAGTTAATTATTAATAAGTGAGTTAGTTGTTTTGGGTAGTGACAGTTTCAGTAGTGACAACTTTCACTAATTTTAGCATAACTTAAATATGCTAGCCAGTGCATGATAGCAAACATAGCTTTAAACAGCTGTACACATATAAAATCCTAATATTTTCATTAAAAGACAAAAAAAAGTTTACTTAACTGCAGAAAATATATGTTGCGATAGCGACAGTTTTCAGACTGTGGGACACATTTACTTGAACGTAATGGGATATAACTGCTCACCATATGGACAAGGATGCAGTCTTACTTCCTTCTCTAAAACGCAGGTACAAGGCTAAAATAAGGCTTCGTCTATGGACTAAATCATTTTGTGTTTCAATAGTGACATGAAAATGTGGGATATCAACTCATGATAAATTGAAATCTTTTAACTTCACTTTAAAAGAAACCAAAAAGATCTTTTTAAAAATTCACTCATTCTTACTATGTCTTAGAGGTTGTTCCTTTTTAAAAAAAACTCAGTTCTTATTGTGGACTAAAATTGTGTATTATTAGCTCAACTGTAATAGCAGATGACCTACCGTTCCCATACATGTGTCCTTTACATCAACCCAGACCGAATCTGCCACGACCTCAGAGTCTCCCACGTGGTAATACGCCACCACACGGAATGAAGGAAGCATGTCTTTGGTGACAAATTCATGCAGAGTAACTAGAAACTGTCCTTTCCTCTTAAACCTGTTTGCTTTGACAATCTGTCCTTTACTAAGGATCTGAGAGAAAAAGAAGCAGAAAAAAAGGAATTTAATTGACTTTATAGGTTTAAACTTATAGGTTTAAAATAAACTGAGTAAGTTCAAGTTGAAAGAATTTAGATGTGCCCATAATGTTGAATGGACCTGCAAATGATTTAGAGTCTGTACAACATTGAGATTGATGTCAAAATGAAATTAAATATATTCACAACGGATACTTGGACTAAAATGCCAGAAATAGATAGGTACAGACAATTATTCATCGTTCAAGATTTATATTAGATAACTTTTAAGGGGTCCTGATTCTGAAAACAAGTTTAAAACCCAATTATTCCAAATTCTTCAGATAAATAGTCAAAACCTTTTATTATTTCACACCCAGGCATGATTACTGCCAGACCTGTTAAATCTAAACATCAGTCAAATAGAACATGTTTGGCAATGTGAAGCAGCTAGAAGGTCTAAAAAAGCAGCACATGATGCCACATTCTAAGAAGATTCAAATACAGATGTGAAACAAAGTCATTGAAATCTACCAGCCTGGAAAGGGTTACACAGTAGAGTGAACAGCAGTGGACTAAGCACAGAGCCCTGAGGGGTGCCGGTGCTCAGTATGGTGGTGCTGGAGATGTTGTTACCTATCCTGACTAACTGAGGTCTCTCAGTCAGGAAATCCAGGACCCAGTTACAGAGGGAGGTGTTCAGGCCCAGCAGGCTCAGTTTCCAATCAGCTGCTGAGGAATGATGGTGTTGAATGCTGAACTCAATTCTGACATAGGTGTCTCTATTGTCCAGGTGGGTGAGAGTCAGGTGGAGTGTGGCGGAGATGGTGTCGTCTGTTGAGCGGTTGGGGCGATATGCAAAATGAAGTGGGTCCAGTGAAGGAGGGAGCTGGTCTTTAATGTGCCTCATGACAAGCCTCTCAAAGCACTTCATGATGATGGGAGTGAGTGCAATGGGACGGTAGTCATTGAGGCAGGACACTGGAGACTTCTTCGGCACAGGGATGATGGTGGTGGACTTGAAGCACGTTGGAACGACTGCAGTGCTCAGAGGGATGTTGAATATGTCTGTGAGAACGTCAGCCAGCTGTTCAGCACATTCTCTGAGCACTTTACCTGATATGCTGTCAGATCCTGGTGCTTTTTGTGGGTCAGCAGTGTTTTGAAAATGTTCATGGAGTTTCTTTGAGTAGCTGCACTTCGCCTCTCTGATGACCCAGGATAGCTTGGCTTGCTATCCTGAGGCATGCTTTATCCACTGACTTGAAAGCCTTGTCGCGGGTTCTCAGCAGCATGCGCACCTCTGCATTCATCCATGGCTTCTGGTTGGGGTGAGTTGTGATGAGTTTGGAGACAGTAACATCACCAATGCACTTGCTGATGTACCCAGTCACTGATTCTGTATACTTCTCCAGGTTGATGGAGTCACCGGAAGTTGCTGCTTCTCTGAACATCTCCCATTCAGTGTGCTCTAAACAGTCCTGAAGAGCAAAGATAGCTCCTGGTGGCCAGGTTTTCACATGCTTCTGGTCCGGTTTGGCACGTCTGATGAGCGGTCTGTATGCTGGAGTGAGCATCACAGAGATGTGGTCTGAGTAGCCGTAGTGGGCGCAGGGCTCGGTAGTCCAGTTTATTCTCCGAGGAACAAACATTTGAAAGAAGAAGTGATGGAACGGCTGGTCATCTGGAGTTAGCCATTAGCCTAGCATGCACCCCGGCTCGCTTGCGCCTTCTCGTGCATCATTTTTGGCCAGCAGCACTGTGGATCGTAGCAGGCCTAGCTCACGTAGCTCTTCCCTCAGTCTGTCTGAAAGCAGAGATTGTGGCTGATTTCTCAGCTGTAGCAGGCTTTGGCAATGGTAGACATTGGTGCTGGTTGTAGCAGTCATGATTTTTGAGTTTTGGTCGGGTTACATGACAGATAGTAAAACAAAAATAGCAAAAAAGCACCGTTTTGTTGTTCCCGAAGTGGTCATTGCAGCTACCCGCCGTGCCACCAGAACCGAAACATTGCATCCATGGGAGAGCTGCACAAAACACTGCTGACCAAAATGTACATAAAAACTTGTCTCACATTTGCCATCTAGATGACCCCCAAGAATTTTTGGAATAGTATTCTGTGGACTAATGAGTCAAAGGTGGAACCTTTTGGAAGACATGGGTCAGCTTGCATCTGGCATAAAGCTAATACTGCATTCCACCATAAGAACATCATAAGAAGATAAGAAGAACATCATACCAACAGTCAAACATGGTGGTGGTAGTGTGATGGTCTGGTGCTGCTTTGCTTCTGCAGGATCTGGACGACTTATCATAATTGATAGAATCATGAATTTTACTCTCTATCAGAAAATCCTGAAGGAGAACGTCTGTCAGTTTGTGACTTAAAGCTCAAGCGCAGTTGGGTCAAGCAGCAGAACAATGATGCAGTATACAAGCAAGTCCACCTGTGAATGACTCAAAAGAAACAAAATGAAGGGTTTTGTAGTGGCTGAGTCAAAGTTCTGACTTGAATCCCATTGTGATGCTGTGGGAAGACCATAACCAGGCAGTTCTTGCTTGAAAACCCTCCAGTGTAGCTAAGTTAAAACAATTCCACAAAGAAGAATGGACCACAGATCCTCCACAGTGATGTGAATTACTCACATCAAATTATCATAAATGTTTGATTGCAGTTGTTACTGCCAAAGGTGGCACAACCAGTTATTAGGTTTAGGGGGCAATACGTTTTTGACATGAGTGACTTAGGTTTTGAATCAATCTTTATCTTTAATACATGGAATGATCATTTAAAATCTGCATTTTGTGTTTACTCATGTTGTCTTTATCTTACATTAAAAGTAGTTGGATGATTAAAATAAATAAATAAATAAATAAATAAAATCAGAATGAATTAGTGAATACCTTTTCACAGGACATTAATTCCTGAATAGGTTATTGATCATTTTGTATGTACCATGTATGTATGTGTTCTGTAAGAGTACCAACCAGGTAAGTGATATCCTGATTTTGGTCTCCAGGGCTCTTGTTGATGTTGAGATTAATTTTAATTTCCTCACCAACATTCATTTCTACAGTGTCAATTCCAATGTGAAGGTAATTGTTGGATCCTCCTTTAGTAGCATAGGCTTGGGCAATCATTTTCTTTTCATCCTGTCTGTCATTTGATATGGCTGGGTCATTGGTTTTTACCTGTGAGATGATAAAAAAAAGAAAGTACTGATATCCTGCTACAGTAATACAAACTTAATCATGATTTCAGGTATGAACAGGCATCCTCCAGTCATTCAGAAAATTCTTACTGTGACATATGTTACAACATTCCTGATCACAGCATTAAAACATAAGTCAATAAGCAATCATGATATTGAGAAAGTAAATTAATTGAGAAAACAATTATAAATACAAATAATGCAAGCCTTACAGTAATTTGTAGACTCCTGGTTTGTGCCTGGGTGTTGACTGTGACCTTTGCAAGACCATTGGCTTTAGTTTGTCTTTCCTGACTCTGCATGCCTTCAGGGCTGACCAACACAGGCACATTTTGTGCAGGTGTCTGGTCTGGATTTGTCACGTAAACCTATTCAAATCACATTATCCGTATCAGATTCATCTTGAACATACAGTTGGATTTAGAGAAGACTTTATTGCATTGGAGTTGATAAGCAAAGAATTGCAGTTGCAGGAATGTCAGTATCCAAAAAACAAGAACGACTCATCAGATAATTATCAAGACCCTCATTAGTTGGAAATGGCTTCTCAGAAACAGGATTAAGATTAACTTTATAAAGTTATTTTTAACTTTTAGTTGATTGGATGCCTGCTGATTTCAGTAAATGAAACAAAGAGAGTTATGAAATCATTCATGCAAAGTGTCTCATGAGACAATTACTGAATATGCACTATATGGCCAAAAGTATGTGGACCATATAGTGAACAGGAAAGGGACCTTCCCTAAACTGTTGGCACAAAAGTGGAAGCATTTACACATCTAAAATTGTCTTTGTATGCCATAGCATTAATATTACCCTTCACTGGAACTAAGGGGATAGTTGATACATGTTTAAAGTCACTGAGCTCTTCAGTACGACCCATTCTACTGCCAGTGTTTGTCTGTGGATATTGCATGACTATGTACTTAATTTTATACACCAGGGTGTCCCAATACTTTACCATACAGTGTAATTTACAATATGTTAAATGAAGTTTTAAATGTTTAGCTGCCCCTTACAGGCATACAGTTGACTGTAGTCCATCTGTTGATGCACACTTTAGCCATCATCTATCCTTACACTGATAGTCAGTTTCTGATCACAGAGCAACTCTTGTCTGGATATTTATGGGGGGTGGTCCACTCTCAACCTAACAGTGATAGTGGTGTGTGTAAAAACCGCACAAACACAGCTGTTTGCGATACACTCATACCCGTGCTACACACACTACCACGTCAGTGTTACTTCTGTGCTGAAAATATACCCAATATCTGGATAAAAGCAGTCATATGGTCAGCAATTGACCAGTGCTGAATGGGGTACAGGGGGGGCTGATAAAATGCATTTGAACAGATGAACTACAATCTGTAATTGTACACCTATATATTGAAGCTATAAAGATGGTGTTTTTAATAAAGTGGCCAGTGAGTGGAAGCGCAAGATAGATGTTTCTAAAAAAGTAGACTGTGAATGTAATTGTTTATACCGTGACATCAAAAGGCATTCCAGGTTTGAAGAATTTGGGTGTTCTTTTGAAGTGGATGGTATAAGGGGATGTCACAATCGGAATGCCCCTCCTCTGAGCTTCCACCATTTCACTACCTGAAACATGAACATTCATATTTGAGCATAAAAAAGTAGCACAACATTATAATATTACATTGTGGCATTCACAGTAAGTAAGTACCAATATGAATGCCAATGGACTCACACACCCTGATGCTTGACTCTTACCGGTATCTGTTAAAACACTGACTGAAATGTACAAAGAGCTTCCAACCAGCTTTTCGACGTCTGGGATCATCTCTTTAGTCAGCTGTGCACGTCCCTTTCCATTAGTGATCTACATAAAAAATAAAGCAAAATAAAGCAATATCTCTCTCTCTCACTCTCTTATATATACACACACATCCATACATTTGGATGTGTTGAAAAATACCCCTGCAGATTTCTTTGAAAAACAGAAAGAAGCAAAGTCTCCTGAAAAAAAGTTGTTAAGGATTCTGTGTAATTTTCTTTTCTCAAAGATCTGATGGGGACAGCTGGTTTACCAGGTCTTGTACAGTTGTTAGAAGTTATTTTTTTCTTTATCTTCTCTGTAATTAAATACACATACATGTACTGAAATGAATTTAGTTTGCTCAATCAAATGCCTTTGCCAGTGGTGAGGGGCTTCCAGATTTCTGCACAGTTTTATTTTCCTCCTCAAACGCATCTAATTCAACTAATCCATTACCAAGTGTCCGTGTTTGGTCAGAGCAAACTGTGGTGGATTTTGGCCCTCAGTTCCCCACTTCTGATTTAGACCACTGTCTTCTCATGGTGTTCAAAACTCTGTAAAGCTCACCGTTACTCTTCTTAAAGAGGCTGGTAGGCTGGTCTTGCTGTCACCTTGCATCACACCAAACACCACAAACGCGGTTCCTTCCACTTTGTTCCCAAACAGATACCTTCACATAGTTCACACTGGTTACATTATATTCTTATGTGGTCTCCTGGTCATGGATGGTCATTATCAAAGTAATGCTGCAAATTTTACTTTCTCTTACTGGGCAGTGATGTCCACTTGAAGGTCCTTATCGTCCACGTAGAAGAAAGACTTCGATGGATTTAAGGTGACCTCAAAGGTTGGCAGCACTGCAAAGCAAGACATAAGTCAGTATATATGTGGAAACACAGCAGGTATGTTTTTGTTGTCTGAATGTAAGAATCTCACCATATTCTTTCACTTCAAACTCAGCAGTGAAGTTCTTCTGAGGGATGTTCTTGTACCTTGCTGCTATAGTCCATATTCCAGGGCTTAGGAGAACATCAAATAAAAACAAAGTCAGAATAGGCTAAAAATGTCATCTAAAAGATTAAACTGACATATCACTGTTGTCGGAAGAAAACATGGTAACACTTTCTATGAATGTCACCTTTGTCAGCATCTATAAACACATTCATAACATGTTATAATGCATTCATAAGACATTATAAACATAGCTATAAATATTTATAAAAATGCACTATACGTTATAGCATGTTTATTATGCATTATGAATTGTTAACATAATACATTATAAGTACTGATCATAACAAATTATAAGAGCTCATAAGTCGTATTTGTCCGCTCTAAGTAAAGTGAAGCGTACTGTACTAAAGCCTCCTCCAGTGTTAAGAGTGAGGCTTCAAGTTGAAGTATTTACTGAAGGATTTACTGAAACACTAAAACATACACAATAAAGCACATTACAGGCTTCAAATGTCAGAGTTTAAACTAGTGCTGCCATCAGTGTTTTACCCAATGTGGGAAAGGTAATGTACACCACCGTTAGCTTGGTATTTACGCTCTCCAAGCTGGGACTGACTTCTTTGGCATTGACAGTATAACATGTTATCAACACTATGTATAATGCATTATATTAACAATTCATGATGTATAATTAACATGGCTATACAGTGTAATTCAGTGTAATTCTTTTTTATAAATATTTATAACTATGTTTATAATGCCTTATGAAAACATGTTATAAATGTGTTTATAGATGCTTACAAAGGTGACATTTATAGAAAGTGTTACCAAAAACATCATATCTCCAAACCGGTAACTTTACAGGAAAAGGTAAAAACCTACTTTACTTTTAATGTAAACCAATGGAACCAGACATTTTTCAAGTAATTTTGGGCTGTTTCTTTTGGTCTGTTCTTCATAAAATTTACACACAATGTAAAGAACAACAGCTACTTTCAAATTTTGCCAAAAACCAAAAAATGACAACAATGGACATACATGGTTTTATTCTGACAACAGCAATATATAGACTGACTGATAAATGTATTAAAATATGACATCTGTAAGGACATTCAGATATTTCAAAATGAACTGGTAATTCTGTTATAATCATTCTGTTATAATTTCAGTTGGAACAATCATTTGATCAATTTTTATATAAGCAACATGTACATCGCTGCTAAAAATGAACATTTGAATTTTGTTTCTAGTACCTATGGGTGAGTTAATTATAGCAGACAGGCAGACAGGGTTTGTTGTAACACTTGCTAGAAAAGACTGATGAATTTGTGCAAAAAAAATTCTAAGCTGTAAGAAACAAATATATTTTCCAACCATACTACATTATATTTTATCTGTCTGTAAGACAAAACAATCAATTGATAGAGACTGTGACAAATCTATTTAAAAATCATTACATATCAGTTAAATATGGAACATTGTTTCTGAATAATTATAGCGTTGCCAAATGTTAATGTCAATTTAATTAATATACTTGTTTAAAACCAAGATGGTAACATCTGAAAGATACTGTTAAAGTAGAAGAAAATCCCTGTTTTCAGGTGTTTCTCTCTCTTTCAGTTTAAAATCCTGTATAAACATATGTACTTAAGCCTAGCTAGCACTTGCTGTGAGCTGGTCACCTGCTTCAAAATGATGTTACATTGTTGCAAACAAGATGGTGATTAAAGTAATATAAGGTTGGATTTTGTGATTTACACAAACATCTCAGTAACCGAAAAAACAAAATGTGTTGAAAAAAATCCACAGCTAGGAAATGTGATGCTGTGGCCAGAAGCACACGCTGCTTGACCTTGTATAACAACAAAAAAGTCTGTGTTGAATTGTGCCCCACATTAGGTCATTTCCTGGGCTCCCCTACTTCCCTTATGAAAAAGAAACATACATATATTCATAGTATATGAATAGTTTATCTGAAGTGCACTTGTAGGCAAAAACACAAAATAGTCCAGATTTGAATCCTATAGAGAATATTTGGTCTCACATTAAACACAAACTAGTTTAGCAATGCTTTTCAGCTGTTTGAAGCCGTCAATGCTGACTGGATCAGCACTGACTCATTTTTCTGTAAAAGGTTGTCTGCAAATTACACACAAAAACTCAACATTTAAAGAAACCAAAGAGAAAGCTCCCCCATACTAACTTACTTTATCTGTTTGTTTAATGAATTGTTGTTATGTTGATTAAATTCAATAGTTGATTTTGTTTTAAAACAATACTAAAATTACATTTTTTTAAATTTCCTGTGTCTTATGGAAATACATGTAAAATATACTTTTCTGTTTTTTAGTAACACATTTTAAATTCTATTTTATTATTCTGTAAGGAAATACACTTGAATGGGTGTATTTAATACAATGAAGCATATTTGTCATCAACTTACAGGTTACGTTTAGAAATATATTTTAAAGCAATGACTTTTAAAGTATTTAAATTGTAGTTTAGTAGCAATATAACTCAAACTAACAAGCAATTAAATATGTGTATCAGTATACCCAACAGTATGCATTTAGAATTTGTTTCAAATGTAGAATTTGTGTCTTAACAGTTAACTTCATTGCAACAAAAGCTGTTTCAATTTAAAACAGTACTGTTTAAAACAGGCCTGCTAGATGTATTTCAACTTTACGTAAATATAAAATGTAAGGATATATTGTTGTGCTTTGATACTAATCTACTTAAGTTTGCAAAAGCACAACTAAATGTATTTAATATATATTTAATTAAAGCTTGATTACCACTTAAATTACTTTAGATTTCTGAAGTTGTTCCAAAATAATGCATTTTGTATGTATTGAATTATGGTCAAGGTCTAAACATTACCTATTTTTAATAAAAAAAAAAACAAGTTCACTGAAGTGCAGTTCTCTTTCACAAGAAATAATAAGGATATGTAAGCACATTTTCTGGTATTTAAACTGTATTCAAGGATTTCTATTCTATAATACTTTTACCTTAATTTACACTCAAAATAAATATCTTGTTTTTGCACTCCACTGCTTTTTACCCCAATTGTCATTACTCATTCCTTCTGGCATGAGACAAAACTGTATTTGAAAGAATATGGTGCACTTTCAAATTAAAGCAACTGAATCATAGCTCATGTTTCACTAAACTCAATCCTTAAATACTGATTTTACAATTGTAGCTCAATAATTGTAACTAGCAGAGGCATTTTAACCTGCTTATGGGACAGGAGGTCATAGACCCTAAGGGTCTATTTACAACCGATAAAATCAGTATAATGCAACACAACAAAACAAAGTGGACAAATTCCACAGGCTTTAATCAGCATGAAAAGAGAGAGCCACATAACTAACAATCAGCAGAACCCATGACTAACCTGACCACACAGCGGATGACAAACAAGGGCAGATTTACCATAATAAACTTGTTTTGGCATGATGAAATGGCTGTCACAATGCAACGGCTTTTATGGGCACTACTCTGATTATGGGCACTGATGAGCAATGGCTCTTTAGTGCCCATAATGCAAAGAATGAGTGCCTATATAAGAAAACAAGACGCTGTCGCACAGTTTGTCAAAAATCACAAAGAACATGCTTATCTGCCCCATTATGCATGTAGCTATGTTAGGTAATTTGATGAGGCTTCTGACTTTCTTGACTTTGATCTTAAGGTTCTGTCCATTTAGCACTATTACTCTGCTGAGATTTCACAGTGTTTTATATATAAGCTTAAGATGCATACTGGAATTATTTTTGTTCCAAAAGTTTTTTTTTTTGTTTTGTTTTTTAAGTATTATAATAACATATCGCTAATAGTATAATAGTATATCGTATTATAATAACATATCGTGAATAGTATAATAGTATGTCACTGTTGTCAGAACAAAACCTTGTATCTCCAAAATGGTAACTTTACAGGAAAAGGAAAAAAAAACTACTTTACTTTCAATGTTAATCAGTGGAACCAGACCTTTTTCTCTCGAGTCATTTTAGGTCATTTCTTTTGGTCCATTCATCATGAAATTTACATAAAATATAAAGGGCAACAGGTATTTTCACTTTATGTCAAAAGATTGAAAAATGACGAGAAATGGAGATATGAGGTTTTCTTCCGACAGCAGTGATATATAATATCAGAGTGCAGATCACTTCACAGGCTAAGATTTTAATGTCATAGACATAGAGTGCTCAGTAGCTTGTTATTAGAGTGTAATAAACTAGCTGCAGACATACAGCGACAACTTCAGTCTTCAGAAAAATCTGTGTACCAAAGTAACTCTTAGGCTGTGTTCTGATGAACAGAAGAAGAAGAATGCCTGTGACAAGTTTCTGGAGCTTCTGAAGATGTTAATTGGCTGAAGCAGGTGTGACAGATTAGCAATTGGAACTAGACTCCGCAGGAACGTAGCCTTCCAGCACCAGGACTGTTGACCATCAGAGCCACTACTCAGCCCATGTGAACACTAGCAAGGTTAGCTAGTGCCTTGAACACCACAACTAGCAGACACAGTCATATTTCTACGTTGATGTAAACTACTTAGCGAGGTCTTTTAGAAAACATCAATGATAGCACCATGAAGGACGGTACACACACCAGTGAATTAATAGGTATCTTTTAGATGATTATTTTTTATACGGTAAATGCAAGCCAAACTGTGTGCACTCTGGTTCAATGTTACCTGCCCTAATTTTTGATTGATATCCCATCAAAAGTGGCACATGATGCATGAAGAACAGCATTTCCTCTCAATGTATTTTCAGTTCAGTCTATGAGGATCTCCAGTGGATCTGCTGTAGGATTTAGTGGCATTTTAAGCACAGTACACTTTGTGGTGTGTATGTGGCCTTACTCTTGCATGCTGGTGAAGATCAGTGGCACAGTGTGTACCTGTGTACCCGTGTATGTGTTTTCCATTTTTCCATTGTGCCTATTTTTACATTTTATTTTTCATTTTCTTTAATGTGTTAGAGTACAGTTAAAAGCAAGTACTTTTGTGCTTCTACCTGAGTAATGATTCACCAAGGGTATCTCTATTTTCACTCAAATACAGAGTTTGTGTACTTTGCCCATTACTGGTCAGAAAGCTTTAATGCAATGTACTAACCTGGCAAGGTCATGGATATCGTACTTCTGAGTGAGGATCCCATTTTTAGGGCTGATTGTGTCTCTATGAATAGCGATTCCTTGAGGATTCTTCAAAAACAGAGTTAAAATTATTATTCATGATTTGTGACACAAGCAAACATTAAAATATACAAAGTTTAATATACTTTGATGTAATCTAATAACTCAGATACACCCCTTCCTCAAATACTCAGCTAAGCAAACATATTCCTTCATACCCCTATGAAATATCTAATTTCACTTAAATCTACTACTACACACCGGCACCCTCATGCTGAAAGGTTTAGAAAAAGAGAAAATTGACATTTTTTTTTCCCCTTCCTGGAAGTAAACAAAGTATTTTAAGAGAAATGTACTGTGCCGTAAAAAGAAATGACCTTGCCTTCTGATTTCTTCTATATTTGTCACACTTAATTGGTTCAGATTGTTGAAAAACCTAATACTAAGAGAACCCGAGAAGGACCAAATACAGTTTTAAATGATCAAAAAAAAATAAAATCCAACATCAGACGACCCTGTGTAAAAAGGAAATTACCCCCTTAGTTGCTGTATTGACCAATAATCAAATTTGGTTGATGATTGATCCATGAGCCAACTCTTAGCGGCATCTAGACCTCAGCCACTAAGTCTTTTGATGTTCCCTATTACCCTGATGGTAATTATTAGGCTTAACAGCACCATATACTAATATACTATACATAGGTGAGCTAATGGGCCAGAGCATGTAAGACCTGTCACTAATTGCACCAATCACAATGAGCACTACATTCTCAACACTACTTACTTTTACCTCAATTGTAACATATGCAATAATTAAAAGCACTTATAATTATAATACACTATGATCAGTAATATTCTTTCATTTGCTACTGATACTCACAACTCATCATCAACCTCTATCTCTTATTGGATATATGCTGATATATCTTTGTTAATAATATGTCTTATGTTTCTTTCCAGACTACTTGCTCCAGGTAAAACCTTCTCCGGTGGGTAACTATTATCTCTTATGATCTTTGGGATTGGCTCTACCCCTGCCATTCCAATATGGCAGGATCTGTGAGGGTCTAGACGTTCCAAGACCTGGGCCAAATGTGGGGCCTGCCCCAAGGACTTTAATTTACAAAATTTGTTAAATCCTATTGAGATATTTTTTTTTCCTTGACACTCATCTCTGGAGTCTTTCTAGTAGAAAGAAGGTGAAGAAGTCTATCGCCCGCACTCAAAATCACCCAGTGCACTCATAACCGTCACCTGCTGAGTCCGAGCAGCGTAACCAGCCTCACAGAGCCTCACTCACAACCACTAAATTCCCTTTTGATGGCACCCTTGGTGTGACCGTGTTTCTCCCTTACTTTGGTCTGGTTGAGTTGGGTAAGCAATAATATCATCAACAAATTGCTTGTTCCTCTACACCCCTGTGGTGATTTACTTGGTTTAATTTCTCATTTTAAGTCTCACATTATGGAGGGAAAATCTTTCAGTTTCTAGTCAAAGAGACCCTAAAATCATTATTGCTTGTAGTTCATTCAGGCAGCAAGTTCATTGTTATAAGCAACAGATATTATTTTTATCCAGGTCTAGAGATGTCTTGGAAGACATTCCTTATGGTAGCAATGTGGCTGCAAACCTATTCTTTTTCAAAAGTATAGGTTTAATACTTTACCAGAGCACATTTGAAGTTGTGAATCCACTGAGAACTGTCTTCTTTACTGTTGCCAATGTGCTAATCTAATCATCTACATAAAAAGAGACACAATTATTTATCTCACTATCCAGAACCCATACTTTTCTTACAACCACTTAGTAATTTAAGGACTCTTAGGTTTGAGAATAAACACATTTATTTTAAGCAGCGTATTCACAAAGCTTTAAAAATGTGTTTTCCGTACTCACTGAAAGAAATCAGCTTTTACAAGCATATGTCTGTGCTGGTGATGTTTTTCCAACATGTACAGTTTTTTTAAATAGGCACAGATTATATTTCCAGATGATCACAGCAATGAGATAAAGACCTCAGTTGCTCTATCTTGACCTCCAGCCAGAGCACACAGTTGCTGTGCATGATGTCACTGTTAAAGGCACTTGCTACAAGAAAGGCATGTGGGTTGTCATTGGGAAGATTGCGAGGGACTTGCATTCGGTAACCTCAAGCTAATACTAGTTGTGATAGGCCTTGTTCTGTTTATTTTGTCACTGAGAAATCCCATTCTGATTGTCTCAATGATCAGAGGCTTTACAGCTTGACAGACATTGTCAATTATTGCTGTATCATTCAATTCTATCTACTTGACTACTACACTCTATCAATGTATGAAGTCTTTGGTTTGTCTCTAATAGCCCTTCATCACTCCTTTACTTCTTAAGAATGATGCCAGACCCATAGGAATGCATCAAGAAGGCTATCATCTCCTTTCTTCCTAATATGACAGAGAAGAGAATTGACTAGCTGATTGATAAGATTATCAAACAAGAAGTGGAAAGCAGTGAAGACCTACGGTATGTTAGAGAGCAGGGCCCAAGTGACAAGAACTTCAGTTCAACCCAGACCCCCTCAACCTTAGGCTGGACACTGTTGTTATAAGACCCAGGACCCAGGACATGAAGGAACCAGGTCACAAGACTTTACCTGTTTGCCTTTGGAGAACAAAACTGGGACAGGAGCACTGAGGCCATGGACCCAGAGTGCAGGACTCCAACATGAGTCCCATCATCAGACACAGCCACTAAGGCTTGTGATGTAGTCTCTGAGAACCAGGACCTAAAAATCTTTCTTCCCAGGTTATTACTACATCCCAGCTCCAGCAAAAACCCCAGCTTTACAGTGTAGGCTCTGTGATTTTATTAAGTAAATTAATATCACTATATTGCCAGATAATTTTGCTTGTTTTACTTATAACAAGTGAAAAGTGTTTAGAAATAAGCTAGGTAATCTTATAGAAAGTGCAAAACCATCACAAAATGTGAAATATTAGATGATATATCGACTCAAGATCATTTAACTTGACAAGATGCCTTTTGCAGTGCAAGCTGAGACACTGGATATGGAGCTATTGCTGGTGGCCTTGGCTTTGGGTTCTAGGCCTTATAGCAAACATTCCAAAGCACAGAGGCATAGGCTGATCTTGGACTTTCAGCTAAACCTCAGAGCCTACATTTTTAAAGATTTAGCCTCCGACCAAGCACTTATACATCTTCAGTGACTTCTCAGGTTAACATCTACAGATATGAACTTGGACACTCCAAATAATGTGAAAAACAACTGAATTCAGAAGATTCTAATAAAATGTTATTTGCACAGCTGATTTAAAGTCTTGAATGTATACTGAATGCATTCACTGCTGCTATATCATTGATATGTTGTTGAGGTTACTGAGAGTCTGATGAGTGTTTATTTCATCTACAAAGGACCACTCAAAATAATGTGTCATCCTTAAAATAAATTCCCAAACATATAATATTTGTATTACAAATGATTAACCTGAAAATGTAATGAATTCCCAAAAGAAAAATGTAATAAGAAAATAAGGTATTACATTATTGGTAAAAATGTTACAGTAACAGTTAACATAATCTATTACATCATTAGGCAATTTATAACATGGCTGGGTTTATTATATTTTTGACTGAGTTATAAATAATATTTTGATACATGTCTGGCATTATTACATTACTGAGAAATGATCAGACTATTAAGTGCTACAGCCCTCCAATGTAACTGAATTAAAGCTATTCTGTAAAGAAGAGCTGGTCACAATTCCTCTACAGTTCCTCAGAAAGTTCTTCTATAATCTCTGATATAATTGCTTATGTAGCTTTTGACAGTGTATGACATATTATTATCCATAGCAAGGCAAATATGTGATGACTTAGACATGCACATTGCTAACTGGGCATAGACTTCCATCACTTGTTTTATACATTAGCTTGTAGCTACAGTGCAAAACTAAATAGGCCAAATTCAGACACCAAACTCATCTTATCTGATACATTTTGGGTTAAGGGAGAAATTCCATTGTTGTTATATTAAAAATAACCTTCAAGATCAGATACCTTTATAATCAGGAAACAAAACGGTAAAACAATGTCTTTTCAGCAGTTTCCAGCTTACAATTAAATGTTTCTAGAACTGGACGAATTACCTGTGAACATTTAACTAAAACAACTCATGCAGAATTGCTATTTAAGTACTTACTATGACTTCAACAGAGACTGCACTCTGGTCAAGCGGCTGCAGATCAGGAGTCATAGAGAAGACTCTGTATTTAACTGGAAAAGGACAAAATAGGTCAAGATTTTAAAAAAAGACTTTCCCAAAACACAATGTTTATCTCATACTATACATCTGTATTCAACCTCTGTCTGAAACACTCTATTTGAGCTCCAGTTTGTTTAAGCCATGCCCCTCCCCACCCCCCCAATGAGCCCAGTGTGCTCTGATTGGTCAGCTCGTCCACTCTGTTGTGATAGGTCAACTGCCAGAACAGAGGTCAGCATCCTGCTACAAGTTCTGCCACAAACTGCTGTGGCTGTTTTCAGTAGCATCGGTTCTGCAGTATCAGTTTTAGCCAGAGTCCGATCCTGAAAGTCAGGTTCATTAAGTTGGCAGAACTGATCCACCTTCGCAAGCTACACTGGAGCAGGAACATTTCTGAGTGCTAAGTTTTTACTGTCTTTTTACTGTCTTAGCTTTCTGTGTGTTGTGTGAGGTTAAGTTCATTGATGACCCGAGTTTAAACAGGCAAGTTTGGGTTTGAATTCCCAAACCAAGCTCTACTTCCAAATGTTAGAGGTATAAGGTTGGGCAGTGGTGTCCTCTTATCTTGGGCATGGCCAAGACTCCAGTGGCATGAGGCAAATCGAGTTTTATTTCTTTGGTCTCCCCAAGCTGAGAGACTGGGTATGGAGCTATTGCTTGTTGTGTGGGGGCATGTCAAGCTTGCCAGTAGGTGGGCAATAAGGATTGTGTTACAAGATGTTTGCCTCTTGTAACAGAGAAAAGGGCTGGAATTCCAACATGGCATTTCAGGCAGCAGGAAAAGTGATTTCTGTGGGACAGGGTTACTCCACCCGGGAGTGTACTTTGGGCTTTGTATGTCTGCAGACAGTTTAGACCAACAAAGAGCAATATAACACACTAAACGAAAGGGGAAAAAAATGAAAAAGTATAATAGGTACCCTATAAGCCAGGACTGCCAACTTTGGTGAGGTGACTTGGGTAAGTTCTTCCAGTGGCTGGAGTGAGATTTTTACTTTTGCATGCATACATACTTATCAGTTATTACACTAATTAGATATTAGCATGTAGTTATGAGTTTTAAACCAAACCAAGAGTTTGCATGAAGCAGCAATTCCGTAATCATGTAAAAAGGTGCGTTATACACCGTACGGTTCTCATGGTGGTAGACAACAAAGGTAAATGGTTTACATTCAAAGCCAAATTTCAATCCAGTTACCTGATGGCAACAACTGATTTTTCACCAGACAACATGGAAAAAAAATCAATGTTCAGTTATCAATTAGTTTTTCCACTGAACTTTGCTTGTTTAGTATTGCTGAATCAGAGTTTGGCCATATTGGGAGTACAATTTAACATTTCATTGGTGAGTTCAGAGTGTTGTACCTGTACTCTTGGGTGTGTAGATGCTCTTGTCTGTCTGGATGAATATGTAGCCTGACTGGAAGGAGACCATGACCACCTTCTCCAGCAGAGTGAGAGGAAATTGGGCCTGCAGGTACACGTACTGCTTCTCTAAGGGATCCGCGCTGAAGAGCTCATTTTCAGGAATCTGAATCACAAAAAGTAACCTGCTTTTTTAGATTTTAGGACTTTTGTTCAGAAATCAAATTTCCACATATACCAAAGGTAATCTGTTTGTCTGGTCTCTGATACTGTATTACATACTGTTATTTATAAGCTAGCACTTTACATTAAGAGTTGTTAATGAAAGTTTATTCATGTTATAATTGATCTCTTATTGCTATATTAACTGTTTATTTAGCATTAGTAATAATTTAGTAACTTAATTAACTGTTAACTGATAGTTTAGTTTGTCATTAGCTTATTTACTCATTAACTGTGTACTAAATGCTGATTACACCAATAAAGTGATGTGTTTACTTATATAAAGAAGTAACATTGCACCTGTCCTCCATGATCTCCACTGGCTTCCTGTAAAGTATGATATTCACTTTAAATTCTTCTGCTCACCTACAAAGCTCTCATCAACGTTGCTCCTTCATACTTGTCTGATATACTCCTTCCCTATAAATCCACCTGTTCCTTCATCCCACCTTCATAGTTTTGGTGACTGAGCATTTTCAAGATTTGCTCTTCATCTGTGGAACTCTCTTCCTCCGCATGTCCAGCAGTCCAACTCTCTTTCCGTATTTAAATCAAATCAAAAACACCTATCTCTCCCATCTAGACGGCAAATTACTTATCCTATCGTCTGATTTCATCTACCTTACCTTCTTTGGTTTTCTTGTTTTAACACTTGTGTTTTTGTTTTTTTTTACAACTGAAAGTGATTCGTTCATTATTATTATTATTATTTTATTATTATTATTATTATTATTATTATTAATACAAATGGTCAAGATCAGAAAACAGTACTCAATTTTTGTCTGTGTTTATGGATATGATGATCATGCATTACTGATTCATACATTATTGATGATTATGCATTACTGATTCATACATTATTGATGATCATTAAGACTAACGCAATGTTAATGTCTTTCAAGTCAATTTAGAAGTAAGGACAAAAGTGCCTGAAATTTACTTTAAAAAAAAAGCTACAGTTGAGAAGTTATTAAAACACTTATAATAGTGCATCAAATACATCCCTGACTCCCTCCTATAGTGATCTAGTCTCTGATCTAAATGCTAGACTAAAGGAAACTCTTGACATTCTCACTCCAGACTGACTGATTAACCCCAGCTTTTCTGCTGGTGCGTCTCATTGTGATTTATTTTCTAAAATTTGCAAAGTGTTTGCAATTCATTTTCAAAATAAAATAGACCTGATAAGACAGGGCATAGCTCAGCTGACTTAAACAAGCTCCTGTAATGTTCCTAATTGACTGTGGTTATTGACTGTGTTCAAAATGATGTTTTAACTATTGTAAATTGTTCTCTGTCAACAGGTTTTTTTCCAGGTGCGCTTAAAATTGCCTTGGTGAAGCCTCTCCTAAAAAAGAGTAGCATGGATCCTTCCATACTAAATCATTTTAGACCAATCTCAAACCTACCTTTTCTAAGTAAAGTCTTAGAAAAAGTTGCTTTCAGACAATTACATGCGTATCTTGTAAGGGGTCAGGCTACGACACCAGCTGCCAGTAGGGGGCCTGGGCATCGTGCCAGGAGAGCTGCTAGGTGCACCTCCAAAAAACTCCAACTCCCAGAAGCCCTAGCACTGATCAGTGCTGACTGGTTGCACCTGGGGAACGCTGCATAAAAGCTCACACAAACTGCAGGTCAGTGTTACACCTTTGTAGAGGGGTTACCGGTATGGTACTCCAGCCCAAGTGGGTATAAAGACAGAAAGAAAGAAACAGAAAGTAAAAAGAAAAAGCACTGAAGCTGACAACGGGGAAAAGAAAGAAAAGAAAGGAAAAGAACAAGAATCTAAAGGGGAAAGTTTGAGCAGAGATCCAAAAGAAAATATAATTTCAAGGGAGGTTGGTTAGCTGGACTGGGGAAAGTTTAGATCTCAGCCTTGGTTCTACAAGCTGTGCACTATTCGCATCCTAAGTTTGTTGTTCTCCTCAAGCTTGAGGGTGGTTTTTTGTTTCTGTAGTTTTCCCTTTTAAAGAGATTCCTTTGTTTGTCACATAGTGACACCAAACCACATTCATTACACTTCAACACATCATGCTAATAAGAATTTCACATTGTGAAGACAGTGATAAATAAACTAGTGACTAAACACCCAAAAGCTCTGCACTTGGGCCCGCCACTCCCCATCCTGTGACATATCTAACATTGAACAGGTTACATGAGAAATTTTGATCAGGTTTTCATTCTAACCATAGACTAAGACAAGTTTGGTGCGTATTGTCAGCGACATCAGGCCTAATGCTGATGCTCAATATTCCTTTAATTCTGGTCTTATTGGATCTCAGCACAGCTTTTGATACCATTGATCACATGATTTTAATCCACTGTCTTGAATACTGGGTAGGCCTCTCAGGCACAGTTTTAGAATAGTTACAAATATATTTAATGAATATATAGTTCTTGGTTTCACTGGGAATCATTCATCAAAACATTTCTTGTGAGGTTCCACAAGGTTCAGTTTTAGGGCCTGTCTTACTCTTTATTCATATCACCTCTAGGTGATGTCATCAGGAAACATAATATCAATTTTCATAGCTATGCTGATGATACACAATTATACATTTCCATTCCTCGTGATAATCAAGACTCTGTTGACAGGCTTACCAGAATGTGTCACATATTTCTCAGTGGATGTCACAAAATTTTCTACAACTAAGTCAAGAAAAACAACTGAAATACTGCCCCTTGGTACTAAAACTCAGAGAAAAAAAAGCTTTATAAGAAGCTCAGTTGGTTAGCTTCATATACTAAACCTGAAATAGGAAACTTGAATGTAATTTTAGATTCTGAGCTCTGTTTTATCCCATATGTACACGCAGTCACTAAAGTACACTATATGGACAGCAGTATTGGGACATATCTACAATCAGTGGGCCTCATTCTTCAATATCTTCTTAAGTATTTTCTTAAACTTGTTTTTGAGAAAGATACTAAGTAAAAGTCTATGTCACATTCATGATGTGTTCTTAAATCACAGAATTGTTTGCATCTTTGTGCTCTTGAGTGTGTGTAGATACATGTATGATCTGGCTAATGATATGGGAATAATATGATAACAATCTGTAAACTTAAAAATAATATGTTAATTATCTAGTTGTTAGTAAAAATAAGTTATTCATTTCAGTGGAAATAAGTTAGTAATAATGTGGGAAATTAATGGTGACAAACTGTTTACAAAACTAAATAAACACAGGGTTTTATAATATTAGGTTTATTAACACAAAAACAGTGAAGTAGTTCGGTTGAAATGACGTAGTATCACTGCTGTGAAATAGTAATTTACTTGTATCTACTTTGTTTCTTACTTGTTATGCATTTAAATCATCAGGTACAGTATGATGTACAGACACATTTACTGCCTATAACCCTAATGCTAAATGTGATTCAAGCTGTAAGATGCAAATGCAGTTACTGCATCTCGCAGCAAGTGTAAAAATCAGTTCTTCAGAATAATGTAACGTAAAATAACAATTTCATTATTCACTTATTACAGATCTGCAAAGTGCTACCAGTTAAGTTAAAGTCAAACAGCACTGACCTTTATAGGTACAAGTTTCTGGTAGTTGTTTCCAGCATTGAGGACCACCGATTCGAATGCCAGCTGTATGGTTTTCCGTGGATGATTCATCACTCTGATCCTTACAGGGATATCTTCTCCAGCGTAATCCTGAGCCTCCACGAATATGTTCTCTAAAGTGCCCACCCTCAGCATGTTTGGGGCAGACAGGATGTTGCTAGGAGGGTGAACGTAAAATGTAATTGGGTTTATATATATATTTTATAGATCGAGTTGCAGTAGTCAAGACTTCAGATGACAAGAGACTGAACTAGCACCTGGGTGACCTCTCGAGTGAGAAAGGGTCGAATACTCTGGATGTTGAACAGGAGAAACCTGCATGACCGAGTTAAGTTCACGATATGAGCTGAGAACAATAACTGGCCATCCAGAATCATCTTCAGATGAACAATCAGAGAGTTCATGGTTATATCTGAACCATGCATTTATATGTGTGATAGACACATGCAACACAGTAGAAGTTTGATGTGATAAGTACAGTGAAACAGCCTAGATGAAATGATGTGTAAATGAACCCCTACAACATGGCCATAACATTGTTTTTAGACAGCTGATTGGCTGTCAACATGATCAACACTGGTTAATGTTATCCTTTTTTTCCTTCCTTTGTCAAAAACCTTTATAAAGTGTAATGGCTCAAGTGTATAAAGGTTTTTGACTAAGGAAGGCATGAGGAGCACTAATGTAAACCGGTGTATCTTTTGCACTAAAATGAAAGTGGAGTCCATAACAATGTACGATGGAACCAAAGAGGGAGGCATGTAAATTATAAGCAAAAGCAGACCAAAAACTGATCCCTGTGGATCACCTTAGGAGACAAGGGCTGTGTAATATTTAGAATTTCCTAAAGACACAAAATGCTGTCTGTCTGAAAGGTAGAATCTAAACCAGGATAGCAAAGTTACAGGCATGCTTATATAGGTTTGAAGATGGTGAAGGAAATAGGCATGGTTGACAATATTAAAAGACACTGTAAAGTTCAGGAGGAGAATGCTAAGAAGACCAGTGTCAGCAAAGAAATGAAGTAAGAAGGACAGTTTTAATACTCTGCAATTGGTAGAAACCTAACTGAATTTACAAGACTAAATAGTGATTGGTAATAGGGAGAGTTTAGACTAAATTCAAGAACTTTACTTTTCAACTGTGCTATGTAATAAGCATTTTAATGTTGGTTCCTTTGTATGCCGTTGACCTACATCTTGCTCCCTCCCCTTTTTGAAAAATGCAGTGAAAAAGTGATGACAGAAAGAAATACTGATTTGCAGACTGGTCTTGTGGTTGGGTAGCTACCACCTTCTCCAGCAGAGAAGTAGACAAATAGGTACTGAATAAACATGAGATGTTCTATTAATAATCAGCTTGAGTGCTGCTGTTTTCACACTGGACATATTTCTGAAGCATTTATTTAGATGACCATCTGATGGAACAAATACATTTTCATTATATAATCAGTGTTTCAGTCTACACCGGCTGAACTAGAGCCCTTCCAACTTGCCGTTTTTTTTTTTATTTTTTTTTTTATATACGTGAAACCTTTTTTCCATAGAGATCCAGTTAAATCACAAAGTCTAACTTCCTATACTGAACTAAAGTACACTATTGTAAAAAAAAATTATAATGTGTTTTAATGATGGTTTAGGCCTGGGTCTAGATTTAACCCTAACAGAGAATATTTAGGCTCATATTAAACACAAACTAGCTTGGCAGTGTTTTTCAGCAGTTTGAAGCCGTCAATGCTAAGCAGAAAAATACTGACTCTTCTTTCTGTAAAAGGTTGTCTGCAAATTTACACACAAACCCTGAACATTTAAAGAAATCAAAGGAAAAGTTATAAGATCTGTTCATTTATTGATTAGTTGTTAAGACCATTAAGAGCTTAATGTCTTTCCATTTTGAGGTTGGCTCATTATTTTTGCTCAGGGGTGTATATCAAAATTACAATTTACTAAGGTGTTGATTTTTTTAGACATAGTAGATGCCGTCTTAATGGTGTATGGAGGCTACAGATATAATGAGGCTTTTTTATCTGACACTTGTGATTTTGTTTTTGTGCTGTCAAGCTTTAAAACTGCTCTAAATCAATTTCATTTAGAAGTACAGTTGTAAAACTTAAGCCTTCATCAGAACTTTATGCCATTTGTCTTATTTAATTCTTTTAGTCTTGAATTTTACCCTTACTGTTTGGTCCTACTTCATATGAAGTGTCTCTATTAACTGCATTGTTACACATGAATAACATGCAACAACACTGTAACTACTGATGATTTAGTCAATGTTACAGATGGATTACAGAAGTACAGCCTATGTAATTACACATGTGTATCAACTTCAGTTTTGCCTCATGCAATTACAAAAGTGTATCTTCTACACAGGAACTGTGTTAAAGTTACACTTTAAAATAAGTGGACAGTTCCTGTGTATTTGTTATGTAGGTATTGTGTAATAATGGAGTGGTAATATATAAATTGCTTTGGAGGTAATGCAACACGTTTAATAATGTCATAAAAGTTGCATTTTAAGATAAGGGGATGTCTGCTGTACTGTCACATTACAGAATGGTTTAAAGCTGAAACTGGTTACAACATCACAGAACTAGCAACATAAATGCTAGCTAAATGTTAGGAAAGCTGGTAGATACAGTGTAAGTAATGTCTTAATGTACATTATTACATAATTCCTTTTACTGCTGGAAAATTCTAAAAACTGCTGTTCCAGCTATTACTCATGTAATTACACATGAGAGAATAGGCTGTTACAACTATTAAGATACACTTGTGTAATTACATGAGGCAAAATCTAAGTTGATACACGTGTATTTACATAAGATGTACTTCTGTAATCCATTAGTAGTTACATTGTAAGTCATTAGTAGTTACATTGTTGTTGCATTTGTTGTTCACATGTAACTACACAGTTATTAGAGACAATTAATAGAAAGTGGGACCTACTGTTTTGAGAGCTACTTTTACTTCTTCTTCTTCTGCAAGTCAGAGTGTGTATATATGTGTACTATATATGTGTACATTTGTGTGTGATATACTCACAGTGGGACACATAGTGTGAGCAGTGGTGAAGACAGAAGAGCAGCAGTGATCCACAGCAGGTCCACCTGCCCCATCCTGCCTGTCTGATCCTGCCTGTGTCTGAATAAATGGTTGTTACTGAGCAGAACTACAGCTTTAATACACACTCCCTACCTCCATCTCCTCCCATCATGTTGTGGTTATGTGAGGGGTGAGGGGTTCAAAGTTCTGTGCTAAAGTAAATTTGTGTGTCAGCAGCATAAAAACTGGACGATGGCTGGTAGCACTCAGAGGGAGCATATACCTTTTTATACAAAAGTTTGGACACTTTTATACAAAGTTTGGCAAAATTACATATTTGGTATATTTTTCAAGTGAAAAGGATGCAACCTCAGCAGCAAACACACACAGTTACTACACAGTTACTTCGTACACCAAAGAATATGTAACCTTCAGAGACAAACACACTCCTGATATATACTCCTTATTTCTATATTACAAAATAGAAATTCCATGTATCAAATTAGATGTCCCCAAACTGGGCTGCACTCAGAATTAAGTTGCAGCCCACATACTGCATGGAATGTTGGCACACGAGCGAACCACATGCAGTTGGCAGAACCTGGCCTTTTTTTTACAACCATTAAAGGGCCACATCTCATCCACATTTAACCATTTATGATTGTAGGTATATTTCGGTTTGTCCATCTGAATTTACATCCCCAAATTGTAAGGCAAATTATTCAGTAACAGCATGAAATATTAATTAATAATAATTATTATTATTTTTTTTTGTAAAAGTTCCCCTCAAATGAACAGAAAATGTGTTTTATGATCATACACATATTGCTATATGCTTACAATGTACTGCTGAAAGCCAAAAATCTTAGATGCTCTTTGGATTTGTTTATAAAAATAATTGTTACAGTGCAGATCACTGAAGAGACGTCATCTGAGATCCAGTTTCTAGCTCAGATTTGTGGAAAAATGGGTCAACTTTCAGTAGAAAAAAAACCCCAAAACTTGTGAGTTCAGCTTCTTTTATTATAAAGTTTTAATTTATAATTTAAAGTTAATTACCCATCTATTTGACTGGAAAGATGACAGTTACAGCTCTCATATGACACCCACCTTTTGAATGTAGCTTATGAAATATGAAAGTTATGAAGAATATGATGAAGTGCGTTTTTGAACCACCGGTGGTCCCAAGCAGTTAAAGAGGTTAAACCACCACCACTGCCAGAACTGACTAACTAACTACCCAGTCACAAGTGTAAAAACAGGGTCAATATACTGTAACAATTAAGCAGGTTAACATCAAACTTTAATGCAACATTAGGGCACCGGAGCTCATCTAACACTTCTTAATTTAGTCAAAAGTTATCTTAACTAATGTTTAGCACTGTATCTCAGATAGTTAAACAAGGATGTTCTTTTTTTGACACAACTCTCCTGTTGACCAGGGCCTCCACAGTTGTACTGTGCAACAAAGCACAAGGTCAATGGGGCTGGCATGTGTTTCTTCTTTATGCAGATGGAGGTGGCCTTATTACTGACAGAATTTGAAAAAAAAAGCAATATTGTTAAGATAGGGCAGCACTCAGGGATTTCTGCTTATATGCTGGCATTTCTGTGTCCACCAAGGTTTAATACATTGTAGGACTGTAGTGCTCCAGTGCAGAGTCCAGCCTCAAAATCACTTTTTTACTTGATTTGGACTTTTCTCTGTCTTGGCCATCAGTCTCACCAAATTTATTTTCTGGTCTCATCCGAGTGGTTACTAGCTTAAATGTGTAAGCTAATTGAACATCATATTATACATTTTATTACTCTGCCTTCAAGTCTGATCTATGTAAATGAGCTATGTTCTGATTGGCTGCCACGTATTTTGTCCCATTTAGAAAGCAGTCCCTTTATCACTACTACTACTACTACTACTACTACTACTACTACTTAATAGGTGGGACTAAACTGCTGTAGACTGAATTTGTGAATATATATATATATATATATATATATATATATATATATATATATTTATGTTATATAACTTTTATGTTATATAAACACGATTAATCTCTTTAGTTTAAAAAATTAAGAAAAAAATCTGTTTCATATGAATGGACCTTTTAAAGCACGGGTGCCCAATAAAGGTTGATTAATTGATTGATTGATTGATTGATTGATTGATTGAAGATGTAGATGAGGTAAAATGCTGGTTAGCAGGCTAGCTTTAAAGCATCCATGTTGCTTTTACTTTTCTTACACTTTCACAGCAAAAGCAATAGGAAAAAGATTTCAGGAAAAAAGAAGGCAGGTTATCATTGAAATAAACTCATGTGTGTAATTACCCAACTTGTGTGAACAAGAGGTGAACTGTGTGTGTGTTTGTGCACGTCACTCCATCATCAGCCGACCCCCCTCACAGCCTCACAGTGTCATTGCACAGCAGAAAACTTTAGAAAATGGCACTAACTAGCTCACTCTTTTTTAACATGAGCATGTGATGCCAGTGACAGTGAACTGTAATAACTCATAAAGGATTGTTTTTCCAACTGATTCAAACACCGAAAGTGAGAGAGTAAAGCATCCAGACGAAAGGAGGTGTAGCCGGGAGTGGCAGCAATGACGAGTTTTTTTACTCAATGATAGGTCAGCGTGATGCAAAGAGGAGGGAAAATGTGATATTACTGGGGAAAAAAATATAATTATAAAATGATATATATATATATAGTTTTCTCTGCTGTTGGCACATGGTGAAGGAACTAAGTGTCAGACAATGATTAAAGGCAAAAGTCATCACACGTTGATCAAAGATGACAGAGAAACAAGAATCTTGTCTTTAGAATGAAATGACATAATGGATCATGCTTAGTATGACCAAGATCATCAACTAATGAGGTAAGAAATGTTTTTGTTTTCAGGTTTCCTTTAAGAACACTTTAACCTTCATTTCGTCATTTGACATCCATCCAAATGTACCTTCTTTCCAGATGTAGTGCATAGAGGCACTTGAAGAGTTAATTGTTTCCCATAAATGAGAGCATCTGCTGTGCAAATTCAACCTTTGATCATTTGGAAAGTACTAAAAGTCCAAAAATCATTACACATGGGCGTAAGTGCACGCTTTCTGAAACTGTGCCATTTAAATACTGGCATGTGAATACAGGCCTATTAATCCTAAAAATGCTGCTGAAAACTTTCATCAGTAAGTCATTTTATTGCATGTTGTGTAAATAGAAATACAGGGACAAAACATAATAGAGATAATTGTGTTTGGCGACAAAGAGAAAAGAGAACTCTTCTCTAGGGCTCTTAAAACCTTGGCATCCTAAGAGACTCAGATCTCACCATCACTAGCCATTCTCCAAAACAGCCTTCTATTATCTAAATATAGCCTGAGTCAAATGTTTGGTGTTACAGCAAGACCTAGAGAAGCTCATACATGATTTTATCTCCAACAGGGTGGACTATTGTAATGGTATCTTAACTGGACTTCCCAAAAAGACCATTACACATGCAGCAATGAAACTTATGAAATGTCTAGACACAGCTGCCTCTGGTACCCATGGTGACCAGGCTTACCCAGATCATAAGCTGAGAGTACGCTTCCCCTGCAAGGTTTAATGCTGCAGTGTTTCTGGCCCAAATTCTTCAAAGCATTCTAAAAAGTGGTCTGTTTACCTTTATCACCAGGAATAATGATAGCAAACAGTAATAAAGCAATGTTTCTGTACAGAGCACCACTTAAAGAAAACCCTTCCTAAACACTTGACCTATGATAAGGTTTACAACAGAGGGAGTCAAATGAAGACACACAGCTTTCAATGAGTTGCCCCACAAAAAAAGACAATTTTCCATGAACATCAAAATGGAAATTTCATAATAGCAGGACCTTTATAACATCATGTGACATAACTTTATCATGTAAAGACACAAAGCTGTATGATTGTGTAATTTACTTATTTTCCTGAATTGTATCTGAAATATGCATAACAAAGTTTCAAGGTTTCCAAGTTTTATTTGTCACATATATAGTCATACACAGCACAACTAGCAGTGGAATGCTTGCATAACTGCCTGCTCGCATGAAGCAATTAGAAATAATAAGCAAAAAGGTAATAAGAAAAAGCAGTTCCTAGCACGTTAAATAGTTAGCCAAGTGCTCCAGCACCTGTGCACATCCCTTTTCTAAAGCACAGTAGCTATACATTTCAACATTAGCTGACCTTTTATGACTGAATTCAGTTGCAAAATACTGTATAAATTCGTATTATGTATGTAGCTATCAGGCATTTGTGTGCTGAAAACTGTCAAGCAGGTCTCATATCACTACTGTTAGCTTAGCAACATCGCAAGCCAGCTAGCCAACTGACTGTTATGCAGCTACACACTAGCCTAACATTAGGTAGCTAGCTGACTAAAACATGACTGTTGTTGTAGCCCCTGTCTGGTAGACCAAATACTCAGACTTTTAAACAAGTGCTGCTAAATAACTGTAAACATACAATATTTCATGGTTTTGGCTACTTAGCTTGTATTTCAGCTTCCTGCCAGATTTTTGCCAGCGTTCTTTATTGACTTCTCTGCCAGGAGGGCGTGAACTTGAACTGGCCAATCCCAGCAGTTTTCAATCAACAATTCGAATTCCCTGATGCTGTTAATGTTCAGGGAATGTTCATCTCAAATAAGTTTCATTTTATTTTAGATGCTTTGTAATATTTACAACATTGTCATTTGGAATAATAATTATTTGTAACGCAGAACGGCTCACTAGACAGAGGATGTGAACCCTGGCTTTCTGGGTTATATCCTGGGGCCTAACAGATGAGCCACAACAGGTTTTGGGGACACAGGACCCAAGTGCTAAGCTTATGTACAACAGAAGGATGAGTTAAACTAAAGCACTTGAACACGTGGTGAGTCCAGGGATCGAACCTGGGCCCTATAGATGCTGTGCAAGCTCTCTACGCCTTCACCACAGCATCATCAGGAGGTTCAGTTTATGCAGGTGAGGTTTGCACAGGATTGTACAACAGGAAGCTGCATGATGGTCAAACCCGTCCAGAAGGCTGGTGAGCAGTGGGCATACGATCAAGGCAGAAGAAGCAATGGTATCAGATGCACAGGATAGGCAGTTGTTCAGCTTAGCAAAGAAAAACACAGATAGTTCTGTAAAGAGTGACTGTTTACAGATTA